TTGTAAAGTCTCTTTTGTTATGATAATAAAATATAATTCATAGAATTGGGATTATAATAAACCTATTTGTTAGCTTATATTAATTGTAATTCACTCATTTAATATCAAACTTTTCATAATAAAATTTTAAATACTGAAAATGAGAACTAAGACTATATAAAAGTTCATTTTAATATTATTTGAAATCTTGGAAGTAGTATCTTTTATTAGATAAGAATAATGAACATAAAAATTATATTCGGTGGTCTCCTGATGGTGAAAGTTTTATAATTCCTAAACGTAAATTGTTTTAACAAAAAGTAATGGTGAATGCATTTAATACTAATAACATCTAGTCATTTTTAAGATAACTCAGCTTTTATAAATTTAAAATGGAAAAGAATAAACAAAATCAAAAGCAGTATTGTCATCCACATTTCTAGAGGGGACGAAGGTAAAATCATTGAATTATTGAGTGATTTACAGGGATCTTTTGAGTAAAATACAAAGAATGAAAAATGATAAATTAAACGAGGACAGTACAGATTAAGCATCAAATCTGGAGTATATAAAACTTTAGAATGAACAATTATAAAGTTAATTAGAGAAGCTGAAACTAAACCAGCAATATATATTGAAACAATTAATAATACAGGCGAAGATTTAGGCGACATTGGCGAGTCGGGTTGAGAGAATCGCTTAAGTAAATAATCCATTTTTAGCCTCTTTTAGGAAATGGCAATTATTTATGGAGAAGAGCGTTAATTAGAATTTGCGAAACCGATGAGATTGTTTTTCAAATTAATCTAAGGATATAGAGTAGATTAATTAGAAAGAATTATTGGCTTTCTGATTTTTGAGATGGATGTTCCCACTCCTATTTAAGAAAATTACTCTCCAATTTAGTTCCCTTATTGCTGAAATTTTGAAATTCCCATTGATTATAAGTAGTAGTGACATTTCAAATATCGATTATAGACTTTAACTTAGCCATTTATAATTTTCCAACCAATCACATAAATGGAAATATCATTGGAGAAAATGAAGGAGTTTAGGGTCCTCCAATGTCTTTCAATTCTCGAATTATGTTAGACGCTATTTCAAAATGAAAGCCTTTAAATATTTGAAACATCGATGTGAAATACAATACAAGCCTTCTTTCCTATTCTCTTTCTAAATTGTATTTCTTTTGCTCATCACAAATCTTTTTGATGTTCTTACAAATGTAAGTCTGTATTATGGAATGAATTCGAATTTATTTTAGTATAGAATTTTATTGGCTTTACAACGTTTCCAATTCCTCCTTTAATTATTTCATTTCTTCTCTCATAATAATGATGGAATCCTTCTCTTTATCCAAATGGGCGATGCTCTGTCTCCGTTTTCTCTCCACCTTGGAAAGCGATGATCTTTTAAATTCAGAGATATGGAATACTTATTTCCTTTGATAAACCACTTATGCGAAAACTACTTTTAGTTCATTTCTAAACTTCTCATCTTAAACCCATACGAATTCAGTTATCGATAGAGAGACTTAATTTGTGTTGAATAAAAGTATTCAGGCATAATCGAATTCTAAAATTCTTCGGGATCAACAATTATAAAAGCCCGTCCATCGACTGTCCATCTCACACAATCAAATTTGTCTGACTATCATTTAGCTGTTTGAAAGTTACCTGCAAAATTTCATACAAATTTTTAATTAATATTTTAGGTTTCCCCATTCGATTGAATTTGAAAATGTACTTTAAATAATTAATTAATGTAATAATTAACTTGAATCAAGATTTTAAGAATATTATTAATTTAATTAGACTTATTTTATATTGCATAAAAGATTATATAAAATTGAAATTATAAATAAGTTTAACATAAATAAAATAGTATTAACGTATACACAAAGAATCCTTAGGATTTGCTTATTGACCAATCCTTACATCATCAATTCGTAAAGAATAGTTCTAACTATTTTAAATAAAATTTTATGATGAAAATACAATTAATTTATAAGTCTTGTTATATAGAATGAAATAAAAATGAATATCATTTAGATAGTTTGTTTAAGTTATGTTAATTAACTTGTAAAGCATGTGTGAGTAGCGGAAATGGTAAATTAAAATAAATAGAGGGAACTATAACGATATTCTTATATACAATTTTCAAGGTTAGAGATTATTATGACATAGAATGTAGAATTAAATGATGTTTGTTGAACTTAGTGGTTAGAGCATTTGGCTTGTAAGCCTGGGATGGGTGTTCAATTCCTCCAATTGTCTATTTCTTATTGACTACAGATATTAGAGGGGGTAAATTGGAAGATAGAATACAGATTTGTTAATCTTATAAAATATATTAATAAATATGGATTATGAGCAAGTGATGAATGACAAAAAGTTACGTGAGTAACTGGAAGGAGGTGAAACAATAGTACTTACAATGAAGGTGATAAAATTTACAGGTTAGAACAAAAAGTTACCTAGAGTAATTGTAAAAGAACCCTCTTATAATAGGCAATCACAAACAAGAATGTATATAACATTTCACCGGCAGAAGGCAATTCCGTTAAGAGTTTTTTTTAAAGTTTAGTAAATAAGTAAGAGGATTGTATAATAATATTTGCAGATCAAGAATAAAGAGGAAAATACCATTATCTGCAATAACTTCGATCACAATTTCGAAAATTGTGAAGGAATTCATATTACATATACCTACAGAATATGATCAAAGATATCAAGTGGATGATTAGTATGAAACGTTAAATATTGGTTAGATTGTCATTGATTATACAAACTTTGTGTGAAGTCTATGTAAAGCATAATCTAAAAAAAATACGATGTCATTTCATTGAAGAAATGAATCTAAGTCAATACACAACTACAAACTATGATATTAAGAAAAGCGTTCGAAGATAACTCCCAAAAAAAGGAGCAGAAATGACTGTAGATGATGTCAAAATTGCAATGTAAGCTGCCAGAGGGAATGTTCAAACAATCTATTAAAAATCGAACACTTCGGAGATTAGTATAGAAGATTTCACATTAATTAAGATGTTGGGAAGAGGAGCATTTGGAAAAGTTATGCTTTGTGAGAAGAAAGATACAAAGGAAATATTTGCGATAAAGAGTTTACGTAAGGAGGATATCATCTCAAGAGATCATATTGAATATCTAAAAACAGAGAGAAAAATCTTAGAATAAACATAACATCCATTTCTTGTGTCTTTGGAGTATGCTTTCATCACTTAGGAGTGCGTATACTTTGTTATGAAATTTATGATGTATGATAAATTATATACTCTAGAGGAGGTGAATTGTATACTCATCTTCAAAAGGTGAATAAATTTAACGAAGATTATGCCTTGTTCTATTCATCATAAGTGCTTTTGGCTTTGGAGTATCTGCACAAACAAGGGATTATATATAGAGATTTGAAACCAGAAAACATTCTGATGGATGAAAAAGGATATGTGGCTTTAACAGATTATGGATTAGCTAAGTTTTTATCAAAAGGATAAGTAGCTTAATCAATAGTTGGAACCCCGGAATATTTGGCTCCTGAGGTAATTACTCAATAAGGACATGCCTTCACTGCTGATTGGTGGTGTTTAGGCATACTTATGTATATCAATTGATATATTTAAGATTTGAAATGTTGTGTGGTAGGACTCCATTCTTCTCAGAAAACAGAAATCAAATGTTTAGAAACATAGTAGAATCCGAATTGAAATTTCCATCAACTATTAATCTCTCTAATGATTGCAAGAATCTGTTGACAGCTTTACTAAAAAAGAAACCTCATGAGAGATTGGGAAACAAAGGTGATGCTGAAGAAATAAAGAAACATCCTTGGTTTAAAAAGATTGATTTCTAAAGACTACTATAGAAAGAAGTATTATTTTATACAATAATTTAGATTTAAGCACCTATAATACCTGATTTATAATCAGCCACAGATTTATCTAATTTCAACCCACAAATTCTAGATGAAAGTAATCTCTTCATTATTAACCATTAGAAATCGAAGAAGATCAAAATCAAACTACAAACACTTAGGCAGTTAAGAAATTCGATCAGGAATTTTATGGACTCAATTACAAAAAAGAGTGATTATTTATTTTTATCAAGGTAATTATCATAATTTAGCCTATAATAATTAATTATCATATATTTGAATGATCGTCTTTCCTTTGTTCTTCCCTAAAAATACATTCTACAGTCCAATTATGAATTATTCTATTCCTAAAAGTATTTCCTCTTGATGCTTTATGGATCCTTCGTTGACCATTTCAACCATCTCAGCAAATCCATCATACATCTTCTGTTTTTCATTCAAAAACATTATTCCTTCAAATTTGATTGAATTTTCAATAGCCTTAGCCAAATTCTTTAAACCGCATCTTTACTTCCATGAATTATATGTAGATGTGGCTCCACATAACAATACATACCCTCTCTTATTTATGACAGGGATCACCGCATCCAAGATTTCCTCTCCTGCATTATCATAATAAACATCTATTCCCTCGGATGCATGAGACTTTAATAATTGTGTTAATTAACTAATTAATGTTATTAATAATATTTACTTCACATTTATTTCCTCATTTTGCTTACATTTATTATATGTAACACATTCATCAACTCCAAGTTCCTTTAGGAATTCAACTTTTTCCTCACTACTCACAATTCCCACAACTCTATATCCCATTCTCTTTGCTATTTGGCAAACAACTGATCCTGTTGATCCAGCAGCAGAAGAGACACACAATGTCTTAGGACTTTCTTGAGTCGGTCGATTTGACTCTGGTATTTATTTCATGGCATTCAAAGCAGTCAAACCTGTCACACCATAACTAATATGTAATTCAAATACTAATACATAGACAATGTCAGAGGAATTATTGGATCACCTATCTCTACAAAAGATGGCACCTTAAATAGTTTATTGACCTTTCTCACACAGTACTAAGCACATTCCAATACTCCAAAGACTAATTGGCCTAAAGAATACTTCAAAAATTTAAATTACCAGGATTCCAACTCTTAGCATTACTCTCAATACATTGACCTACTCCAAAGGCAGGCATTACTTAACCAATTTGGACTGAATCTATGTATGTTTTAGCACCTGATAGCCAAACTCTCATGACAGGGTCTACACCAATGAAAAGTACACGAATGAGGATTTCTCCTTTGTCCAATTGAGGTGTAGGCTACTATTGTATTTCAAAGAAATTCATGTTTTAAGGGAAAGACTCATCTGGTCTTCTTTAGAGAAGCAACACTTTATTATTCATATATTTAAAGTTTTTAATGTATCATTTGATTAATAATATTATCAACATTTATACCCTTACATTATTAATTTAATTATCATATTTATTAATATTAATTAATATTTACCAAAATTAATCAGAAAATGATTCACTATAATAACTTTGATAAACAATTTATGTTAATTTAAATATAAATACTGTTTTTCTTACTATAATAACAATTTTTCAATTATTTATGAGAAGAATAATAAATATATTTCTAAGTAATTAAATGTTGTTTAAATTAATTGAAATAAATATGATTGTATTTTGGCGGAAAATATTTGTTGTCCATTTGTTTAAAACAATTATGTAAGTACTCGTCTTACTTTATAAGTTATCTATTTGCTATTGAATAAATGAAAAGTAATGATAGTGATTCAATCATTGTTTTGCTATTATTACTTCAATTTTAGAATAATTTTGTACATTCTTTTTGCTCCTCTTTGATACATAGTAACCTAAACGCCAATTATAAAAATCTTCATCAAAGTTTAAGATGTTAACTTGGCTGCATAATTGCTGAATGTATTATCTTTAGAAAGATTTTAATTTTATTGGATCCAAAAAAATATATTTATCCTCAGATAGTTTTTAATAGATGTTACTCACTGTTCATTACAAACTACTGATCTACAAAATTGATATTATTGATATCATTTCCTTTTACTTATCAATGTTTGATTAATCCATCTAAATGATTTTAAAATTATATTTATTGGGGTAGAAGCAGAGCATTTTTTATGAATTAAATTCTGTAATAGATCATCCCTCATAAACATTAAATCTAGACTTTTTTCAAAATTCAAAACAGTTATCTTTACCTTGAATGCACATTATTATTTTTAAGAAATAATTTAGATTTAGAAGCATGAGAAAACAAACAAATGAAAAAAGTGATGTTTTGGAAACCAATAATTCAACGGATTCAAATGTTTCAAGCTAAAAATGCTAAATTTCAAAAAATAGTTTAAGCTATTAATGCTAGATTGTAAACAATATCGTTGCTTAATAAGTCCAATGCTCTAGATGCTAAAAACCCTTAGTAAATAATGATCATTTATTGTAATATTGTAGTCAAAAATAATGTATAGTTAAATTTCACTAATAATGTTTCTTCAAAGAATTGAATGATCAAAACACTAAAAAGTAGGTATTTTTATATAAATGTAAATGTGGAACTAAAATACCTTCTACAATAATACGGAAATGTGGAGCGCCAAACTTTATGGAGTTTTTATCTTCAATTCATCGCAGATAGCTAGACCTTCTTATGACTTAATCAAATTTGCGGAAAAATCATGAAATAGTATCCTTTTATATGCAGAATAAATTGAAAGAACATGAATTAGATTTCTTTATACAAGAAAAAGATAAGCTGACATACGATGAGACCCCATAATGAAATGAAATTTATAGTTTTATTATTTATAATCAAACTATTAGAATTTACATCACAGTTAGATTATGAGTGCACTCATAGTCACTGTTGATTTAAGCATTGAAGAAAAATATCCATAATAATAAATTATTTATTCTGAACTACATTATATCTTATCTACGATAAAAATATTTCATTTTTTATTACGTTTGTAATAAATTGTATTAAGGCTAAAGCTCTGAAATTTGTTTTTACAATATCGCTATCATTAACAAAGCTTGTTAATCAATATTCTGCTCTTGTACATAGTTTTATTAGGAAAATTCTTAAATCCTAGGTAGAATTACAAACTTCACCTGCATTAGTATTGTTGCCTTGTAATCAAAAGCATGATCTTCTTTATCATTTAATATAGAAAAAATGTTATAAATTCAAATTCAGCATCTGATTAAAATTAGATTAATTTGGAAAATTGATTATCTTACTTTACAACAATATAAATCTTAAATTAGTATTTTAATATTGTTAAGGATTATTGTACTTTAGAATTCGATATAATGAGATTACTTGCTTAATAGAGATATTTTAAATGAACAAATGTAATAAATGCAGAAAATTTATATTTAGCTTTTATAATTTAATTAAACCTTAAGGAATAAAAGTAAATATCACTTAATTTGTAAGGTATTTATAGTTGAGAACGGAGAGACTTATTAACGTTGCCCATGTGGCGCAATTGGTAGCGCGACAGCCTTCTAAGCTGTAGGCTGCAGGTTCAATCCCTGCCATGGGTGATTCTTTTTTATTTTTTTATTCCCTAAATATATTAATTAAATATATATTATAAACACTAATGAGTGCTGTGCCTTATGAAAAGATTTGCGAATTAGCAAGTCCTCTTTATTTTCCTTTGGAGATTGATGGTGCTATTTATATGGTTTCGCAGAATGGCGACATTTTAAAATTTAAGGATGGGTAATTCAAGGTAAGTTACATGAGATGAACGTAGGCTGAGTTTCATATATCAGGATAGCCTTATTCAATAGTAATTGATAAATTGAATAAATTTATATATGTTGCAGATATGGCTCATCAAGCAATTTTAAAGAGATATATAGATGAGAACAGCTAAGAACAAATTACAGAATTTTTGAAAGATTATGAAGGGTAGCCACTTTTGGGGCCTAATTCATTGTTATTGTCCACCTAAAATAGTATAATTAAACGTAATTAGATTTACTATTCTTTACTGATTCTGGACCATTTGGTGAAACTTCAATAGAGAATTGCAAAGGATCTCTTTTTGCTATAGATATGGATGCTCAAATAGTTAAACCCTTGGCATTGTAGTGTTTATCTTATCCAAGTGGTATATGCTTAAGCAATAATCAAAAATTATTATTCCTGTGTGAAACAGGGAAGAACAGAGTGTTGCGCTTTGTTCAAACAGAGGCAGGAATATTTTACTATAGGTATGGAATAATTAGTAATTGAAATAGCACATACATACAATTTAATGGTAGATTTGGTCCAATAGCCTGTGCAGTATCCCAATCAGAACATCTATATGTTGCTAGATTTGAATTTGGACATGTATCAGAGGAGGGCTAGATAAGTATATTCAATTCAAATGGAGTGAATGTTGAGAATGTTTCTATTCCGCAATGCCCTGAGATATCAGGATTAACATTTTCAAGGTATGTATATCAATTTATTGTGAAGCTAAAAATCGAATATTCTTTATGTAACAGAGAATTCATCAACGCCAAGTTGTTTGCGTATTTTAATTAATATCGAAGAGAAGGATGATGTAAAGAAAAAGGATAAGGATAAATTTAAATGATTGGTTTATTAGAAATCATATTATCACTCAATAAATTTAGTTTCTCTAAGTGTTTCTTCAACTTTATAGATTTTCTTCAAGTAGTCTCTCACATCATTTTCCTACTTCAATCTCTCAAGTATGTTCATCAATCTTTATAAGTCATCTTTCGTATCTGTGTTATCTGCCAAAAACATTCTAACAGGAATTGCTATCATATATCAAACAAAGAGAATACAATTATCTCCTGTAGTCCAGAAGCTTAATGGTTTGGAATCAACATAGACTACTTTCTTTCTATCTCTGCCTAGAAGGTCGAGATCTTTAAAATAATCTTCTAAATCATCTTCCTCAACTAGATTGCATTATTCCTGACAGAAGATGTGATCTTTAGGAAATTATGGACACAGTTTTTCTAAGACTCTCTCAACATAAATCCTTTAACCCCTAGACCAAATAACTGGTTCAGTGTGATTGAGGAAGTACTCTAAAAATTCATCCAACTATTCTCTCTTATACACATGAACAAAATTATCGAATTCTGGCAGATCAATGTAAAAATCATATTGTCTCAAGGGTGCATTCATGAACATATCTTTTGGGTCTGGAACAAATGAATATACCAAGACTTCGTCTAATTCCATAACAACAGTTAATTTATCAGAGTATTATTTCTTTTTGATAGGCAAGAGTTTAGGTTTATTTTAATTTTCCTCTTTCACTTTATTAAATGCTGGTTGTAGTTGTTTCCAAGTGGCAGGATCATAGGCTGAATCATCGACCTTTTCCTCCTTTTTATTGAACCATCCAAATAAGCCATAGGATTATTTATGATTTATTTAGCGAAGACTTCTTAAAATTTTAATCATATTTAATATATAATAATCAATTTACCAATTACTCCAATTTTGATAATATTTGTTATGGATGTTCCACTTTTACCATTTTCATTATTTTAATGATGAGATCTGAATCATTGTAAGGATTTTATTTCATTTTTTCCACTAATTTCAAGATGTAGACCATACAAGCCTCATTTTTCATATTTTCATCCAAGTCTAAGAGTCTTTTGGCTATTTTGATAAATTATTGAATATCTTGTAGTAGGAGAAAGACTTGATTGATTTTAAACATGAAATTGTCATTGGTCTCAATCTTAAAGAGCGATTTGATTGCTTGGATATCATGATTCTGATGATTTTGTAGTTGTTTAATGGCATCTATGATCTATTGATCAGTAGAATGCTTCAATTGAAGTGTTTATTCTAATTGATTTTTAAAGTACAAAAAGCAATCTACATATTTGGAATCGCATTTCCATTTCTGGATGATAGGGAATACTTGATCCAGATTGTAATGTTCTTCATGTTAATCATAAATGATTTCGCAAATTGATCTGCAAAACTATTCCAGATGAGAAACTCCCAGCATTACAGTCTTAATCTTTTCAGCCGTCATTACTAATTGATCAACTGAATTGACTGAGAAGATTTCCATCAGTTTATTTAGTTCTTTGTCTTCATTTTCAAATGTTCCTGTCTTCATATTTTTGTTAATGCTTTATATAAAATTAAAAGACTCTTGCAGTTCTGATTTAGTTTCTGAGTAGAGGAGTTTTAATTGATTGAGTTGATCAGTTAGAAATGCATTATTTTCGACAAGTCTTTGATTTTCTTTTTTGATGCGATTCAATTCTTGTGTCAATAATGAATTTTCATTTGTCAATGTTTGGAATGTTGTGTTTTCTTTCATTTGGTATTCTTGATTCTATTTCTTCATTTGGTTAAATTCATTAAGAAATTTTGATAGCAATTCTGTGTTATCTGTTGACATTATTATTCAAATTTAAATTTTAATTAATTTTTATTAATATTTCATGAGTTCATAGAAATATAATAGTATGGTTAAGGGTGATACAGACAGATACAATATAAAAAAGAAGGAATCATCTCTTAAACTTGGTTTTCAATCTTTGATACTTGCTATTCTCTGAATTGGCTCTATTATCCTTCATTTTGCGTATTTATTGACTTGTAAATTCGAAGGAAACCCTTTTACTGCTCGATCTCACCATAGAACTATTAAGACTTTGAGTGCTGGGTCTGCTGCCTATCCTCAAGACTTCAAATGAGGTGGATTTGAGAATGCCCCTGGGAGTGGATGTAGAACTACCTCTTTGAGATTGTAATCCATCCTTATTCTAAATAATCCTCGACAATCTTTGGGGTTTAGGTAAGGGAAAACTTGTAATTTCGCAATGATCATTCACAATCTATGTGACAAAAATTTATCGTTTAGCATTACGAGTCTATATCATATTAGTTGATAGTTATGTTTGACTTTTTCGATGATTTTAGTGAATTTACATACCTATGAATTATTCAATAGAATTCCTGTTCTGCCGTCTTTAACGTGAATCAGCCAAATGTACATTATCTTATTTAGTGAAATCTTCTGCATTAATGGTCTAGGATGGACTTTCGCTTTGTTGGAATCCATTTTGACTTGAAATGCCATTCGTGGACTTAAATGGAGATGATTGTGTGAATATTTCGTCTTTGGAGACCAATGATTCTTTAAATTTACACATCAATGTGTTTATCGCATTCATCCTGTTATGAACTGAAGAATCTTTTTCATTGCAGTCGATATGAAAATTGGGGGTGAGCGATTTGCATTCAATGAATTTGATGGCTTCGTCGGAATTAATTGAGTCTTCTTCTGTATCAAATTGTTAATTCATTTTTATAAAATGTTAAATGATAATTAATTGATTTCTATTGATTGGAGATCTATCACTTATAATGTATCAACAAGCATGTTCCAGATTGTGAGTGGCTACATATGCGCCGACCTAATGTCGTTGCTCAATTTGCACTTCATGGGGTAATACACAGATAAATACCAAACTGCCTCGTATGGGATTGCATGGATGATAATCCAGTTACAATTCGTTCCCTTGGGATTAGGTTTACTATCCCTGATATTTAGGCATCAATCAAGGACTGAACAATCAGGTATCCTATGCTCTGGGACAGAACAAGACAAAACTCTCTCAAACCTACTTGAACTTCGCAATCTATTCCATAATTATTATATCCTTCCCCTTTTTCCTCTTCATTTACAATTCGCGATATCTAGTTCAATTCATAGTTCAAGAAGAAACAGAAATCATAACTTAATACGCATGGTATATAATTTCAAATAAATAAGGAAACCAGGCAAATGATCATTCCTTTATTTATAGCCGCATTTCTGCTCTTATAAATTGAATGCCTAAAATAATATCTTGTCGGATGCAGAATATTCGAGCCTTTCCCCTTCATCTATGCCTCCACCCTCGTATTCCATTTGCTAACATGCTCGTTCCTATTCATAGTCTGTAACCTCGGATACATGGGTTTATGCCTGGCCATCATTCTAAGTGAAGTAACTAAACTCCTAAATTAATACTCAAGTTATTCACCTTACTGATGTTGATCAGATACATCTACAAGAACCCAGAGGTGTACAATTTATTCGCCAACTTCGAGTTCTCATGCCAAATACTCCACTTCAGAGAAACATACCAAATGTTTATCAAAGAGTCCCTCCCATTAATCCTACACATTTACGCCGACTTCATAGTTTTCTACATACTGTCCTTCGTGGCCTTCTCTCTAGGAGTCAATCAAGCCAATGCTCAACTGGCATTCGCCAACACTAGTTCAATCTATTTCAAGTTCCCAATTAGTTTATCAGTAACCCTGATGTCATTCGTTGGAAACAGTCTGAGTAAGATTTCCTTATCAATGTAGGTCAACGTAAAATCGCTTTGGCTAAACAGTACATCATCAGTGGCATGTGTCTCCAAGGAGTTGTACTAGTTTCATTGGTCATTGGTATCACTTTTTTCAAGGATGAATGGAGTCGCTTATATTCATCCGATTTACAGATTCAACAAATAATGCTAGAAACCCTGCCATATTTTCTTATTGGAAGTGTGTGTTTCGATGGGATCCAAGGAGCATTGTCTGGAGCATTAAAGGGAGTCAACAAATCAACAATTGTATCCAATCAAACCATGATATCATACTACATAATTGGAGTTCCAGTTGTGTTAATTTTAGCTTATGTCTTCAATCTATAATTGATTGGTATTTGGTTGGGCTTTGGTCTATGCAATTTGTATTTGACAATCGTATTTCTTTATGTCCTCAAGAATTTAAATTGGACTGAATAGGCTGATTTGATAACTTAAAAGCTCTAATAACACGAAGATTGTCTAGGAGATATAGATCTACCCTTAATGTAAATATAGTAAGAATGAAAATGAAATATAATGTACAATATTATTGCATCATTGTTACTCTCATTCTCTTAATTTTCATTTATTTTTACCTTAGATTCCCGATGTCCTATTGAAATTATTGCTGAAAGTTGTTGCATTTACAATTTCAGAATATCCTTCTTCTTCTGATGTGGTAAATTATCATCTAATCCTGAATCACTTATTCTTTTTCTTCCATGTCTGCATTCTCCTTCGTTTTATTTTGTTTCTACCAACCCAATTTGTCTTCTCAGATATTGGTTTCTCTAGATTAGTTTCAAATCACCATATTTGTTCATTTCTATTTAATATCCTTCATATTATGCTTTGCTATTATTGGTTCTTCTTATCATCTACTAATTCATAATTCTTTAAGAGTTTCTTCCCATAATTAGTTGAAATAGGTGCACTTTTAAATTGTTTATGATTCTATGCCGATTGTATCAAAACATTTTGTCAATCATATTTATTCTTATATATACCACAAAACCTACATGCAATAATTTCTTTTAATTATTATCAACCACTTTCATTGAACCAGAGTTCACCCTTCGAATAATCCTGCATAGTTAAACACTTTTGCTATAAATTTACGATCAAAAGGAGATTAATTATTATAATTGTTCTATTCTTTGGTAATTCTCTCTGATCCATCTTTACGCTACTTGTTACTTCTTTTCCTTCCTTCAACCTTTTACTTTATCTATTTTATCCTCTCTTTCATGATTAATTAATTTAATCCATTATATAGACTGTCATTCACTTCTTACTCTATTGGCATTTCTCTTAAAATATAAAATCATCCTCTCATTATCAAATACTTTAAAATTTTAAAACTTAAAATAATTTTCACTATTATATTTAATAATAATTAATTATATTTAAGCATCAAACAAATAATCATTGTTTCATCAAATTGAACATCATACTTTAAAACAATCCTTGTCGTTGAGAGAATTGATGAATAATCCTATGATATATAGTCTCCTTATATTTTCAAATCAACATTAATTTAGATGAGGATTTCTGATATATATCTTACTTCATATACTAAATACTTACGTATCAATTATTACGATAATTTCAAACATCCTTACTCCCTCAATCGATTTTAAATCTAGAAAAAAGGTTAAAATTAATTATAACTTCTTAAATATTCTAATAATTTGCCTTATTTCCTGTACTTTTTTTAATTTTTCCATTCTGTCTTTCTCTTTCTCAGTTTTCTATATTTTTGTAATTTTGAAAGGTTCCACTTAAAAATTCATTTTTTGATTCACATATTTTTGGATATTCCTTTTTCCAACACAACACTTAAGTTTTTGCATATTTTTGTACCTGCTAAACTGACTTTCAACTCTTTGTTAAAATGTGCATTTATATATATTTCCTATCCTTTCCACTTATTAATTAGGATTATTCAATACTTATCATAAGGTGTTTACATTCTTATTTTAATTTTATGTTTAATTGAAATTTCCTTATGTAATATGATATAAACTATAATTACAGATATTTGTTATTTTAATTTATCATAATCATTCAAATAAATAACTCATATGATTACAAAAGATAAGTAGTCATTAATAATTATTTTATAGTTCTACATTAATTCAATTAATTTTTCTTCAGTTATGGTCTACCAAACCTATTAGCACTTAAGTTAAAATATATTTAATTCTAGTAATACAGAATGTATTACACAAAATACTACCAATAAATTATACAAACACTACCCAGATATTAGATTAGAATTGTTCGATAAAAACTTCAGTGTAAATTTATTCATTATTTATAATTAATCATTTCTCTGTTAATTCTCTATATCCTTTCCAATCGCTAGGTTTCTGATAATTGGTTTCCTCCATACTATGTAAAACTGCTTCTGTTGGACCATCATTTGGCTTTAGTTTAAGAGCCTCTTGGAACATGGCACGAGCAGTCTTCCAATCTCCGTCCAAATAGGCTTAAAAGGCTTTGCCAAATACTTCCTATTTAATGATTAAACTAAATAATTACCATAAAATCTTTCTTAAATCCAGTCAATAAAAATCTCATATCTTTGTTATCTTAAAGATGTTCTATAGCTTTAAATTCTCCACTTTCAACCTGTTCTTTAATTTCCAATTTCTTTTATCTCAAAAGCATTTTCAACTCTTCTTTAGTGAAATCTTTGTATTTGGCTGATGGATCATTACTAGGAGGTAAATTGTCCACATTCATATCAATAGTATAAAGACTAACTGGGATGTTGGAACCCTTGACACAAACTCTGTCAATGTGTCTGATATATTCTTGGAATTCAGGTGAGAAATGCTCATAAAGTGATTCAGAAATCAAAATGGGCACACCATATTGTTTAGTAGCTGCTTCTAGTCTTGATGCCATATTCACATTGGGACTCAAGTAAGAAGCATCAATTTTATAGTTGGATCCAATGGCTCCTTCGATTCCCCATCCCATGTGGAGTCCAAACCCTATCTTGACCTTGTAATTGTCCATTCTCGCTTAAAGTCTTTTATCTTGTCTGTAAGCGAGGATCTTGGGTTCTCTGTTTATTTTGCATTGAATCTTCATAAACGAGATCAAGGCACAATCAGACAAGGTTGAAATATATCTATGATTAGAATAATCAATTACTATTTGTCATGCCAAATTACATTGTCATCTTCAAAAGAATATGTTTCTGGTCTAGTTTTCCACACCAATAAAAATGCATCGCCAATATTCTTGTTTGCTGCTCCCATGTATCTATCGACCATGGTGTGTACAATGTCTCCAATATTATTCACAAACACCATGACATCCTCTTAAAGTACTTCGGTTGCATCAGTGAAATTTCTGATATCACAAAATCCATAGATAGCTACTTTTTTTATTCCAGGCAACATGGGATCGACATCTCCTTACTTTTTCATATTTATTCTAATAATTTCAGTACCAGCATCACCAAATCCTAAGGCAAGCAATGTTCCAATTTTAACAATTGTATTTTCAATCTTAACTGTTTCATTTGAGTTTTCATTCTGTATCACAGCCATTTCTGTAACAATTTAAGGATCATTGGCTATTTTATTAATTTTTTCAATCATTCTTTCCAAGGGTCTCAATGCCAAATCATTAGAATCCTTTGAAAACATCATAGCTCCAAAAGTCAAGACTATGCTCACAAAGATAGTTCTGATAATTGATAAGATACTTGTCATCACAGCTGCTTATCTTGTACTCAAGATACCCACAACATCAGGGTTGTCCTTGCTAAAAGAATATAATTTATTAAAATACTCGAAAGACGCAATGGCAGCATCAGGTAGATTAGTAGTTTTGATGAGAGTGTCATAATCTAAGGTGTATGCACCGACATCCTACTCGTCAGTTCTTAAATTTGGATAGTCATCATTCTAATAAATGGGGAAATCCTCATAATTGTAAAGGGGACTAGTGAACAACACAATGTAATTATCGATTCCACTATGATCAATGATAATTTATGAGTATGCATTTTTAACATCTTCATATGTTGAGGCTTCTGATTCAGCAAGTTTTACAAATTATTAAGATTACATCAACATACTTGTTGGAGGAGACACAAAGTAATCCACAGAAAACAAGGGAATTAAAAACAATAAAGCCAAGACCACTATAATGACCTTCTTAGTAGTTGAATCTGATAGCATTTTTGAAACCTTCGATTCTTTAGTTTCTAGTTCCTCACCTTATCCAGGATTTTGTTATTCAACTCTATCTTATAATTGTGGTTCCACTGCATTAGTCTTTCTTTTCTATCTTCTTTGTGAAAGCAATTTTTAAACTTTATCTTCGTCATCCTTGTTAGCAGATTTATAAACTTTAACCAACCTTATCAACCTCACCAACCTAACTACTCTACCCGCCTTAGTTCCCACTCTAGATGCTCTTCCTGCTCTTGCCAGGCCTGCTGTGTTTTTAGCTTAACCTCCAGCTCCACTCAATCCAACAGCCTAATTGAAAAGACTAATATCAAGCAATAAAGAAATTGTTGAAATTGTATCAAGCCAGAAGAAGAAGGACAGAAAGTATCCCTCTTTAACTATTACTGACAGTATGATTTCTGTAGAAAACATTATCTAAACCCATTAATAAAACTGTTTTTACCAAACATGTAATGTTCAATGCATCAAAAACTATGTCTGCGCTTAACCGAAAAGCAGCAACTCTTACATCATCTCCAAAAAGAGCATACAGAGTCAGAATGTTGATTATTACTTAAAATAGGGTACTCTCCAGAATTATTTCAAAGATTGATGCACGATGAGAACTAGACTTATACACTTTTAGATTTACTTCTTTTCCATTGTCTGTTGAAAGATGTCCACATCTGGTGGTGCTTGTGCCTAATCAGTCATATTTAATTTTATATTTAATATTAACTTTATTATTCACATTCTTTTCTCCTTATCTCATCAATTCCCCATGCTAATTCAAATAACAATCTCACACAAAATATGCCTCATCCAATATTCCTGCCATTCTTGATTCTAGCACCTCACTAATCGTATATCTAGGGTATTAATACAACTTATTAATCATCACTTATCCGCCCTACCCACTAGACCGAGACAAGTACTGGTACATACTGATACATATTGACATATACTTGATTAGATTTAAGAACTAAAGATTTTAAATTCTATATTATTCACAATATAATTTAAGAAATATTTCATGCATTTTGATTTGCAGGAAAAAACGCATAAAATTTAATATAATCCATTTTCTATTAAATCATCCCATTGAATTATAAATCTCATTATTATTGTCTTGATATTCTTAATAAACACCCTTTTATTCGTTTCCCATCTTCAATTCAATTTAAAGCTGGAAATCTAAGGTATTGTGTACTTTATCACAAATAATTTTTACAGGTTTGAATTTATTTCAAATAATTTAATTATAATTAATAAGGTTTCTGTAATGAAATACAATTAGTTGCTAATAAGTTTAGCATGACTTGGGAAGATGCAATTTAATAAAGATATTAATAATATATTGATGAATAATATCATTTTCCCATTTATTGTTTTATCATTATTATTTAATTCTTAAACGACTTGAATTGCCTCCTTCCCATTTGATTCCAAAACTATATTCATCAAGTTATGCAATTTCAAATTTATTGTTGTGAACTTTCGACCATGTATTCTTTGAATTACTGAATTTTTGATTTGATGTAGTCTAAGATTTTTTTATGCTGCCGGTCACTTATATTGGGTGATGGTATTAGTAGGTAATGAATTCTCCTGATGGATCGAAGTAAAGAGTCATATTCTTTAAAGTTACTACGGAATCCTTGACTTATTAAATTCTAAAGTTTAATGAATCTCTTTTACCTTTATTCAACAGGAAGTCCAACTTATTGACTAGCTGCTACTGCTGGCTACAGTGCCTGAACTGGCTAAAGGTTTTAAAGGTTTGGTTAAGGATCATTTTAACTATTAAGAACTATTGATTAATATTTACAATCTAGGTTGCTATTGAATTGGGCTTTAGATTGGATTACTATTGAGTTTATTTTGATTTTATGGATTATTTTGAATTATTTGTTAAGATGTTGTAAGTACCAAATTCAAAAAGGGATAATTCATAAAACTTCCAAGATATTAGTTTTGATCATCAGTCAATTGATTTCCTTCATGATCATATAGAATATTTGTTTCAACTGTCAGACCGTATTATAATCCCAATTAGATAACATACTTTTATACATTTCTATAATTACTTATCCAATACTTAGGTTTGGATCAGCATATTCCTAAGCTATTTATCTATTTTCACCGAAATCTGCTACAAAAGTGTTAACAGGTACACCTTGACCAGCAACAGGTACACCTTAACCAGCAACAGGATTCTAAAGTTCATTTTAAACAACATTTTAATCACCCCCTACCATTATAAATAATTAAGCATTTGCATCATATATTGATTTTAGATCAACGGCAGGATCCAAGTACCCCTATTGACCATCTTGTAATTAAAATCCAATTTAAACATTTTAACCCTAAAACCCTTAACTCAAATAATCAAACATTTCCTTTGCCTTAGCTGATTAATCATTTGTTTAAAATGGTATAGGTAACTCCATCTCAAAATTTCCAGCATAAAGTAGAAAATTCATCTATATGATAAATTTATTAATGTTTTCATGTGCCTTTTGTTTTGATTTATCGATCGATTGCTAATTCTATTAATCGAAAAAATCAATTATATTTATTCATAAACAATTACGATGAATACGATTGGGATGTTAAAATTAGTCTTAAAGGAAGAATTTTAAAGCAGCTCTTCGATTCAGATGGAAAAATACTTAAAGAAAGAGATTATTAATTTATGGTCAACTATTTGGATTAAATATTGCATAATAATTGATATAATATTTAATAAAATATAAATTCTTTTCCGCATATCTGAGAAACGAGAGATGATATGCTCTCCCTCAGGTTCATCTACAATTAGAATTAAGAAAATCTATATTTTAATTAATAACAAATTATGAATAAAGTTTTTATTGGATTTTCTGAAATACAAAAAAGGCAAATAATATATGAGATTAATGTTGGATTGATATGAAATCAATTTTTAATTTTCTATTTGATTTACATTTGACTATGACATCTGCTTTTAATATTTTTCTTGCTGTCAATTTTCGAGGAATTAGCGAGACTGAACTATTTCCTATCTGATGTTTTAGTTTGTTGATATGAGAGACTCAATAGATAATCGAATATAGAACAGCATTTTTAGATAGGGCTAGTTTTTTGTTTTGATAATTTTTTGAAGTTTAACATACTATTTAAGACTAAGATATTTTGTGTTTTAAAATACCCTATTTGTTCTCCACAATTCCGGTTTAACATCTCTTGTGGGATGGCTTTTTATCTGAAGATTTTTTGAGTTGGACACTTGAGATAAGAACATTCTATTTATTGACATTAATGGTAGATTGTTTTAATTTTTAAGTTGTATTTTTTGACTTTTCTAATCTAATTGGGGATGTATTTTTGGTGAATAAATCGATAGCATTCATGGATCTGCGACGTTAGAACATTTGTGGTTCAATGATGAGTTAACTCTAAAGTGTTGGAAGGTAGATAATAACATAAATTTTTACTTCATTCAATTAAAATTGATGTTGACTTCTATCAGTAAGTAAACTCAATTCATGAGATTCAATTAAGAGATTCGAGAAGTCGTAACTAAATGTTTTCTTTTAACATTTTGAACATTGAATCCAATATTTGTTTTATAATTAGCTTTTGATACAAATAGGATAAACAAATACCTTTATTGTAATTGCTTATTTTTATTTGTGCATTTGAGACAGATGTGATGAGAGCAAATCAATTGAATCAACGCTGTATTTTTCAAGCAAAGTTGACATGTTTGCATTTATTTGTAATAATTTCTTTTTATAAATACATAAATGATTATTTGTAATGTACTTAAATTATAAACTCATTTCTTAGCTGGAGCTTTCTTTTAGGCTTATGGCTTATCTGCAGCAGCAGCAGCGGCAGCAGCTTTTTGGGCAGCCACGACTTAGGCGTTGACAGTGAAGATGTATTGTTTGGAGTTTTAATCACCGACTGGAACCAATAAACCTGATTTTGTGAAGTGTCTGATGCATCTTCTGGCTAAAGAACTAGATTTATGATTAGGGAAGCATAATTACCCATTTACTTTGAATTTATCTGACACTGTTGAGACTGTGACCAATGCACCCATTTTTGGCAATTGAGTCTCGATTTATTTATAGGATGCTTAATCTAAAAATACGGCGTTGTTCAACTTATCCTTTGCTCTGCCCTTGGTCCATTTCTATTGTGCATAATCAATATGGATGTAATACCTTCTTTGTTTAATTACTTCTTTGTGATGCAGCTTTAGAAATCTAATCCTTGGTTTTCTTTTAACCTTAAGTTGGTTGTTTTCCCTATTGAATATTAAGAGAAGTATTACCATGATTTCAAATCTTTAATAAAAATTTTGAAAAAAATTTAATATCAATTAATGCAGCAATAAGTCACCACAGTCCACACAGATAAATTCAAAGCCATTGGTCCCTATTCGGCTGGTAAAATCGTTGCTCCAACTGCCAATCTAGTCTATTTGTCAGGTCAATTGGGTATCGTTCCAGAGGTAAATACTTAAAAATCTATATATAATAGACAGGAAATCTGATTTCCGAAGATGTGGCAGAATAAGCAACCCAAGCTATGACCAATGTGGGAATCTTGTTGGAAGCATCCAAGTCTAGCTATAAGAATGTCGTCAAATGCATTGTTTATCTGGTCGATATGGCTGACTTTGCAAAGGTCAACGAAGCCTATGCCAAATTCTTTGATGGAGATTACCCAGCCAGAGTTTGCATTGCAGTCAAATAATTACCCAAAGGTGGTTTAGTGGAAGTCGAAGTCATTGCGGTTTAGGATACAGAATGATCAAGAATATATTGCATAAAAAATTGTATAAAAAGGATATTAGTTTAAATAATATTAGTTAAACTAAAGACTTTTCTATTCTTATTGGCCTAACCCTATTGGGATATCAAATTATTAAGAAACAGAGGCGGTTCATCACTTATCAAAAAAAGACACAAATAAAAAATGAATATTCCTTATGATTTATCCCTTTCAGATTTATAAACCAGATTTTCGTGTTATCTATATGATATTTTTTAATAAAATAAATTAATGATGAAAGGAAGTTAATAAAGTGTTCTCTTGAAAGAGTTAAAAGAAATTCCTATATATTCTGATAACTGGTTTTGGAAACTTCGAATGAGAAATCAAGCACTGCTTTAATTTTCGATTATTTTTGTCCTAATGCTAGGAGTGGTTTTAGGAATTTATTTAGTCAATATGGCAATAATTGTTCCACTTTTAGAATAATCTTCATTCGAGATTTATAATAGTAATGCAAAACATACATTGCAAAGTCATTTAAGAAGCTATGACGGCATTCTTAATGGAATTTTTAATATAAGTAATATTTTAAATTAATTAAGATATTCACTAATTGGAGATACTCCATTAAATTTATACTTAGTCATACAGAAACTTAGAAAAATAGGATAATATTACATTGGATTATAGAGCGCATATGAATTATGCAGGTACAAATTAAATGCCTCAAATACTTGTAAATTAGCCATCTGGTTCTTTGCAAAAGACACATTCATTTATGTGTTACACGAACAAAACCAACATAACATATCCAATGGACAAGGTTACCTTAATAAATTTAAAGATTTAAGAAACAATGTATCCTATAGGTCACATATTGGATGCAACCAAATTAAACATCAAATCTCTTTTCTACGTAGGGACCCTAGAGGAACCCTAGGTATACTTCTCATATCCTTGCACCAATTTTAAATAAGCTATTTATGGCTTAAACATTCCGAAACGACCCTGGTTTTTAAAAGGAATAAGTATTTATAATCAATCAAATTTCAGTGATTACGATTATTAATTTACTGATCCCTTTCTTTGTAACTTAATTATAATAATATTTATATAGAATTCACCAAAGACAAAATCGAAGTAACCTTGGTCATGCCTTTGCTTGATAAAGATCTTAATTTGAAAGGAGTCATGGCTTCAGATTTAGGAACAGATCTCAACAGGTTTGTAGTTAGAACTGATCAGAATGTCCATATGGTCCTATTGGCCAATGACAAGGGTTTGCTCATTTATCACAGTTACAATGTTAGTTTATCTCTCCTTCCAATTTATATCTTCAATACATCACTAACAGGATTTACAATGGATGACTGGACTTCGATAAAAGGTACCAAATAGAGCAATTGCTCATCGTATCCTAAGAATTCGAGTTTGATTTGCCGTTACAATAGTGTGTATGATAAGGATCTGGTGATTACAATTCACGAAATCAAGAAATTCAATTATCTCTTTATGATGTAAGTAGTTAACTTCAATCTAGTTAAGATTCCATGACACCAATGACTATACTGATTATCAAGTTAAATCAACCAAGGAGATGTTGAACAAACTTTAAACGGATGCAATTCAATTTCTGCAAATCGCCATAGGAATATTCCTTGCAGCCATGTTTATCGCCATCTGCATCCTTATTTTAATCTTTTATCCCATTTAGAACATCATCGACAATTGTCATTATATCATGGGTATAAAGAATAAATAAAATGTGCATAAGAATATTCTACTAACCAAATTCTTTATCCCCTTTTTGAATCCTCAATTATAGATGCTCTATTTAGCCTACACCAATTTGGTGAAAAGGTTTTTGTCCTTGTCGCAATCAAAAGGGACTCTTTGTAAAACCTTAGAGGCATTGCAATATCCCAAAAAGATCAAATAGAAGGCTCATCTTTCTCTAAATCGATACTTGAAGAAATGCCTAAACCTAATAGAAACAAACAAAATGGTATACATGGCTCCATTTCACCTTCCATCTTAGTTAATGGGAAGATTTGTTGAGAAGTTGCTAATGACATTCTACTAATGATAATAATTATATGATAATAATTTTCATGAAGATGCTGCTGGTTGTTCTTCAATTAAAGGTTGATATTAATCCAACTATTGTTATTGCTATTACTATTATTATTATTGTAGTTATTATTATTGTTAATCACCGCCTAAATAGGTATTAACAACTTCAGTTCCATATTTCTTTTAAACTATTTGTTTTGTTCCATTGCCAATAGAACTTCCTACTTAACATAGGGCTGTGCCTAATCCTGAAAGAGCAGTGCCTGCTGCATCCCAAGTAGCTGAAGTCAATTGTTTGCTCTACTTCAAAACTAAGAATAGATATTATATTCTATTTACTATTGTTCTATGAGTTATCTATTTTCTGTCCTAATTCATTGGTCAATTCTTTGGTCTTTGCTGCCACTGGCTTAAATAATTAACCCAGATAGGTTCCAGTAACATCAAACACTTCACTAACCTTTTCTTTGGTTGACTAAAATTTGGTCTTTGTATTTGGATCAACTTAAACTTCTTAGCCTGGCTAAATTTTATCATTCAAATATTGAGTCCCTTTGTTTATTCCTGTTGCCATCACGGTGCCCAAGAACAAGAATCCCTTCTTTAGATAGCTAGAGATGAATAGAATAATGAAATTTACTCTCCTCCCTTGACAATGTAGGATGCAGCATCATTAGGATTATCCAAAGGGTTGGTAGCGATGTCTTTGGAATGCAGTTCAATGGTGTCTTTGAATTGCTATATTTGCATAGCCTAATCAAATGGGACCATGGACACAACTGTGTTTAAGGCTGCGTGGAATACATTCAATAAGTCACTTTGTGGAATAAAGATTCCATTTAAACCTAAAACATATTTTGGTTTTCACTGGTTACCTTGGTCTATGTGAGGGAATATAAGTGTCAATCCAGATTCAGATTGTATGTATACGAAAGGAGTGCCAGGAACAATGTTCTGACAGAATTTCTCAATAGTAATGAAATGGGTTTTTGAATCTTAAAATTAGGCCAACTTTACAGTGCCTTAGAAAACCTTAGTTCTGGAGTTTTGTATCAATCTGAAGAATTGAGCATTTTCTGCAATCGAAACCACTTGTGCCATTTCTCTAGGTTGTTCTTCTTGCATATTTAATATTTAAAATAATAGATACGTGTAAAATGAGAATTATAGCAATGTACCTCCTGAAATACCATCCTGAAAATCCTCTGTTCGTTTCCTAGAATTATGAGTTGTCGTTTGTGAAGTATAGATTCGGCATAATATTTTGATAGTTGGTTTTAGCGTCCATTCTTTAAAGAAACTCTCAATTTCGGAGCAAGAACATGTGCAGCGTATTCCATATAGTTTATAACTTTAATAGACGAGCAAAACCTGGTACCAGATGTGCAGTCACTAACCAAGAGGCTCATGCGGTGTCCTATATATGCATTGACAAAAATAATCTAGCAGCTCTTGTTATTGCAGATGATTAATACCCTGAAAAAGTAGCATTTATGGTTATTCAAAACATGTACTAAGAATACTATCGCCAATACAATTCCATGTTCTTGGACACCATAGTCGGTATTCATCATATTTTATCATTTTTACAGCTGATCAAAACTTAAATATTCCAAAATTCGAAGAATTCATCAAACTCTATCAAGATCCAAAGGAGGTTGACAAATTACTCAAGATTGAGAATACTCTTAATGAGGTTACTATGATAGTGCATTAGTCTCTTGATGATGTAGGTCTCTTCTATAAAATTAGCTTTTAAAAAGAGGAGAGACATTGGAATCATTGATGGCCAAATCGAAAGACATGAGTAGTGTGAGTTTGGACTTCTACAAAAATGCTAAAAAAACAAATAACAAATGTTGTAGTTTGTATTGAATGACAATTTATATCTATATTGAATTTTTAATATCTATATTGATCTCATAATGCTGCAGCCTGTGAAGCCATTTCCTTTGCCTTGGCTTCGTTATTGCCCAAGAATGTTGATATTTGCTTGCCTTTATGGAATAAATACACAGCTGGAATTCCTTAACTCTAAAATACTTCATTTAAGTCCTTACTGCATATGTGGATGAAATCTGTTGTAATTCCTCAATGTCAACGTTGACCACTGCCAATTCCCATTTTCCTTGGCCTTCTTCGTGAAACTTGTGGAGTTTGGGTTTTAACACCTTGCATGGTCCACACCTAAGAGTATAAGCGATTTAAAATACCAATCAGCATAGAAATCGACAATGACAGGCTTTGGATTGTTAAGCACGAGTGCATCCCAATCATTTTGTGTCTTGACTGCTAGAGTATGATCTTACATTTGAACAATAAAAAAATTAATATTTTTCACACTTTATTTTTATTAGCATTTAAAGTCCTCAATGATTAAAACAAAAACAAATCTCAAACAATTTTAATTAAAAATACATATGTTCTCATTCTCCAGAATATTCTAAATTCTTATTGTCCGTAACAAATATTTTGAATAGGTCAGATATTTAAAAAATAGAGACCACTCTTTATTCGTTATCCAAACACACCAAACTACCTCGAGGGGATAATAACAGATTTTCGACAACCTATAAATATTATTAGTTCCAAATACTTGCTTAATGGTTTGATTAAAGGTGAATTACTATTTGTTTCTGATGTAATAGGCCAAATATTTAGAATCTTCGGTTTTGATCAGTGATAAAAACTTCTCAGCTGTAGATGCTAACTATTTAATAGGATATTATATCATTTACTATATCGAACATCTAATATTTCAAAATAAATACGAAATCTCGTCTATCAATCAACCCCAAATATTTATTGTTCTTATCTACAATGGCTATGGTATTCCTTTTGTAAATGTAAATTAATTTATAAAATAGACTATTAATACTATTCAAAGTGATACTCATAAACAGGTATATCTGCTGGTAGAGTGAATTGTAATTTTGTAACTTCCTCCTTAAAATACTCCATCTGCAATTCATGCTATTCATAATGAACATTCGTTGTTTTATTTTAGTGCTTCTTCAAAGCAAAATACTAGCTAAACCCCTTCACGAGGAAACTAAGGATGTCTTTCTGTTGAATGATTCCAGAGACCATTTTCGATTCCTTCTCTATCACAATGATTCTGGTAATGTTTTCGGTAATAAATTTTTGGCACACATCGTTCAAATTTTCATCCAATTCTGCTTTTATCAGACAATTCTAATGCAGATTCTCACCAACACTGTTAAACCAAGTCTTGATGGAAATATTCTTGAAGTCTTGTAATAATTGATTGAATTAATCGATTGTCAATCTCCCATATATGGTTCTCTTGATTGGCGAATAAGACTCGTCTTCATTCTCCATTTCAATAATGGCTGCTATATTATTAGTCGTCCAAACTATCTAAAAATAGATTTATAGTAAATTACTATTCGGAATATCATACAGAACATTGTAATAGCATTTCAAAACTGACTTGATGAGATCTGTCTAGGTAAACACTCCGTCGTAGTTAGCTATCTCCTGATTCCAAAACAAAACCTCGTCAACATGGGAGTCAATAAATATCTTGAAAGTATCAAAAAGAGACAATGTCATATCAACAACAGAAACCTGATTGTTTATCGATAAACAATCATAAACACTACTATCGCGCAAGAAGTAAGTCAAAGTGGTCACATATTCTTCCTTTAACAAGTCTTCTTTGCTGGGCTGACTACGTTTCATATTAAAATATATTTATTATTGTAATCAATGTGCAAAGTTCACATTTTTCTTACGTAATATTAATAAATTAAACATGTGCTTAGTTTAAACTATTATTTGAATTATTAATCAATCATTAGGATATCTTGGATTAATCGAGAGAATGCAATCGCATATGTGTATTTTAGTTTATATAATTTAATAAAATGCTAGAGAGTCTTAAGAAATCAGCCATTAATCTTCTCATATCCTAGGATGACTAAGCCTAATTTTATGAATACAAATACTTTATTGGGTAATTCAATCCCAAGAATGATCAAGATAAGTGAATAATATTATTTGCACATAAGGAGTTTGTGATCAAAATCCAATAGCGTTATTTCACTTATCAATGTGCTGGATTATGCTTTGCCGCTTATATCATGTTTGCCTATCGAAGAATGTTGAGTGGTGGTGTACTATCTCCACTTACCAAGATCACCGTAGATCTAACCCTATTATCAGCCTCCCTATTGTAGTATTTGATTCATAATAAAGTCTATCATCCAAAATAGGAGTCACTTCTGTCATGAGGGATCTAGTGCCTTTGCGTAAGAAATTGCTAAATGAACCAGATGTTGATTATTTGAGACATCTTCTTAGTAAATATAAGAAGTTTGATTTTTACAAAGAGAACGAATTCACATTATATCATGATGTGTTGACAACATCTGAATTCAAGGAATGGAAGGAGTTACACAAATTTGATGTAACCAAATTCTGAGTATATAAAAGAATGAATTATTAATCATTTGATTTCTTTCCTTAATAAATTCTGTTATTGCTAACTCTTAGATTCTCCAAATGACTGAGTTCCTACTTCATCAAACATTCACTAAATTTTTAATGAATGGTGGGAATATTAAAATAATTAAGTGATATTTCGTGGAAATAATTTAAATGTCTTACAATATAAAATTATTATTGAGTACCAATTAAATTGATTAATTCATCTGATTTTAATGTTAGTTTATCCAAAAAATCGCTTAAACACATACATGATTGACATTTTTATTGAAATATTACTTTATATATGTATGATTAATCAATTAGTAAAGATTTATCAATTCATATTCAAATCATTCTAGATCTCAAATTAGCTAATTTAAATTATTAAACATAAAAATGGGTGTTTGTTAAACCAAAGTTAAGAAAACCACAGAAAATCCAAAAAAAAAGCTTAATAATAAAATTGAAAGAGTCTAAACTGAATTTACTGCTACTTAAGAAACAGGATCAAAAAATCCAGGACTTTTGTAATTAAATAGCTATAACGTAATCAACTCACCTTAATCCTCTGGATATGTGATACCAAGAAACCAATAAACTAAAACAGGATAAGTAAAGTTAAGTGGATTCACATAAAACACTCCGCAAACAGGACAAATCAGCATCCTTGAGATGAACGCTTCTAAAAAATATTCCATAATTAAGAAACGTTATTTGGACGATGTAATAAATATATTGAATTATTTTTAGTAGAAAAGTATATTGTCCAATAATAAGACTGGAATAATAGTTGAAATGGAAACCTATTTAAAAGAAGATAAAGAGTCATCAGAATACGTACTATGGATATCGAAAGCCTAATTGGTATAGATAACTCATTAATAACATAGGATCATCCTAATCTCAATCGTATCCTTGAAATATACCAAGATTAAAATTCTTATCAGGTCATTTATGAATTTTTTGATGGGAAATCATTGTCAGAACTAGTATCTGAAGACAATCGACTTCCCGTAGTTTAAATTAATCAGATTATGACCTAAATAATCTCTATTGTATCTTACTTACATTCTCTAAATCTCGTTCATGGAAATCTGACTCTTGACTCATTCTAATTTAAAAGAAATCAAAATGAAATCTCAATCAAATTAATTGATCTAAAAAGAGTTAAAATCAAAGAACCAGAATCTCTAAATCTGTTAAATTTCACATCTCCAGAATGCTTGGCTCATTTCACTAATTACACAACTGCAAGGGATGTTTGGGCTATTGGTGTTATATGCTATTCTCTTGCCTAAGGTCATTTGCCGTATACAATACCTCCAAATACTGATTAAATTTCAGCCATTCAACTAATCAAATAAACTGAGATTCATTTTTAAGATAATGATCAGCCAATTGCTCAGTTTATTCAGAAAATGTTAGTCCATAACCTAAAAAACAGAGCCACCTTGAACTAATTGAAATAGGATGAATTCTTAAAGCAGAATAATCAGAAATAACTTCTTTCACAAGAAATCCTATTAAAAAATACATAATTCGCAAAGCCTTGTTGTTTCCTATAAGAAATTATACTAGGCTATTTTTTGTAAGAATTCAACTGGGAACAATATCTTTAAATCCAAAAACTATTTTCAGAAGGAGATTCAGACATGGATGGCTATTTAAGTAAATAGGAATTATCAAATCTGTATAAACAGTATCTCAATGTGACAAATCCAGAAGAATTGGTAGAGTAAGTATTTTAAAACTATGGTATTAATAAAGAAGAAGGAGTTAGTATCTAATAGTTCTAGTGTCTAACTGCTAGTAGAGATATACTATTAACCGATAGCAATATTGAAATAGGATTCTAGATCTTCTCAAATGGCAGAAAGGAAATCAATCTCAGAGGATTAAAAAAACACTTAAATTCTGATTCCGAACAATTGGTTGATGAATTCAATCGTATGACGAATGAAGAAAAAATTGTATAAATTTTATCTTATTTTAGTTGAATCTCAAGTAATTTCACAAGTTAATTCAATTGATTATTTGACATATTAATTAATCATATTAAGTTATTAAATAAATTTATTTTCTATTAAATGATGCAAGCTATTCATTATTACATTAAAATTGAAAATTTCATAATTCATCCATTTAGGATTACCTTCACTCAAAATTTATAAGTGAATGTATATTTTAGATATTTTTTTAAGTTTAAAATTATAAATTTATTGAGTTGAGGATTAAATTGCAAAGGATAATTATATAGATTATAACCAAATTTTCAAATGTAGAAGGAATATTGAGAAAAGATAAAATAGTATGGAGCATCGATTGCATTGAAAGGAAATACTTATGAATTCTACTAATAATTAAATCTATGAAAAAATTGAGGGTTTTAGTTTAAAATCTTTAATTTAAATTTGAAAACAAAAGATTAAGCAATTAAAAGGTTTTTCTAATTTCTTGAATATAAATTCAATTCTCAGGACTAATTTAGAATAATTCCTAAATTTACGCTTTTTAGCTGGACATTAATCAAAATCAAGAGTAAATAAGAAATATCACATCCATTTAGTGGTGCAATCTTTTTGTAGTCAGAATAATAATTTAAACACTCTAAATGGGTTAAATAATTTAAATTCTAATCCTTCCTTACTGAAGACAAATTCAGTATTTATTTTTATCCAAATGAGTAGCTGCTCACTAAAATGTTGATTTTTCTAATAGTTTAACATAAAATTAATTCAATCTTATCTAAAATAGAAATCAATTAATACTATTTTTCATAATAGTTTACCCTCTATTTGATTATCTTGACAATATTTTCATTTATATAATAAGTCCTCTTAAAACTAATTATAATTGAGATTATTTATTATAAAAAAATTAATGGAAATAAATAGAAACGATGTGATAAAGTTGATTTTATAATTTTTACAGGAGAATGGATTCAAAAAATCGCAAGAGGAATTGCAAAAAGAAAGTGGAATCTGTTTAAATTTGGTTGATTCGAAATAAAATCTTAAGAAAGACATCATAGATGGTAATGAATTATTTGAATCATTTAGGAAAATGGGACTAAGTGCTGAATTAGATTAAGTTGTTCAATTTTACGGGTGATACATTATTAGATCTTTACGAATTGATAGTCTAAGAGTTAGTGGAAGTAAATGAGACACAATCAGCGCATTAATTTTTTCTTCAAATGATTGTTCCAAGTCTGCAGGAATACAAAGAGAGACTCCTAAAATTGGATTACTTAATAAGAAAACCTGGTAAATTGAGTATGAATGAGATTTACAATGATAATTTGAGTAAGGAATAAAGAAGAAGCAAGGTGGCTGATAGAGTGATTAGTGAATGCATAGAGGCTCCGGCTTGTAGATTGTTGGAATTGATTGGTGATAGTTTAAGACATTTAAATGCGAATAAAATAATCACGAATAACAAATATGACTTATTTATGGGTTTAGGATAGTCAGAGCAAAAAGTGACTCAAATTAGTAGAATAGAGAAGGTAATTAAATATTCAGAGAAGATGAGAGTTAATTGTGCGACATTTACTCCTGATGGACAAAACCTTATTACAGGATCTATAGATGGAATTATTGAGGTTTGGGATCCCACTAAATACTCAGTCAGAAATGATATAGAATATTAAGTGAACGATCAATATATGATGCATAATAATTGCATAATTAATTTAAGTGCTAATAATGAATTGCTAGTTAGTTTGGATAATAATGGATAAGTAAAAGTTTGGAAATTGAAGACTGGTAAGTGTCTAAAGATAATTGAAAGTACACATCCTAAATAAATTGCAAGTGTGTTATTAGGTAAGGATCCTTAATAGATCTTCATTGCATCTGATTACATCTAATTATTCGCACTTAAGAGTGGAATCACTTAGAAATAGTATAGGGGACATAGTGGATTGATTTAATCAATGTTCTAGAGTTCAGAAGGTTCCAGAATATACAGTGGTGCTTTGGATCAATATTTTAAAGTGTGGGATACTCATTCTGGAGAATAGATTTACAGTCTGAAATTAGAGACAGCATTGGAGAAGATATTTTACATTCAAGGATCTGTTCTGTTATGCCCAAGAGGAAAATAAATGGTTTTATTGAATAGCAATTTCTAAGAGGTTAAGAGATATCATTCTGAATCTGAATTGATTAGTTGCGTGGCTTAAGGTGATTTTGCTTATGGTTTAGGATAGGGGTAATTATATAGTTATGAGGTTAAATCAGGAATTGGGTTGAAACTACTTAAATTGCCAAGTGAGAATATGCAAGATATATGCATAGGACAGAATGTAATATTTTGCTATTCACAGAATGGTCATCTAATATTTATACAATGAGTTAAAATTAAAATATTTGTTAATTAAATATGTCAACCAATCGAAACAATAGTTCAAGTCCTAGAGACTAATTGAGAGTATCTTCATTATCTTAAGAAAAGGAAGACACACTTGAAAGCATTTGAGGATGATTATAATTAAACATGAATTGTCTTAAATTTTATAATTTTGGATAGATAATAATAGGGTATTACAGAAAATGGTGTAAATCCTGGAAATTTGGTCTACTTTGTTGAATCAAACGATAATTGGATTAGAGTGTTACAAATAGATTCATAAATAATGGAGGAATCATAGTTGTAATTTGTGTCTTGACTTATTTGTTTAATGTTTAGTTTAAGGGGTTTTTAAATTAATTTATTGATTTTTTACTATGAATATTTTATCAAATTTTATATATAAACTATTAAACTTAAAATAACATATTGATTACAATTATGAGAGATTAAGTTGTGATCCTGTACAATTATATATGGAATTGAGATTAAATAATGAATGAGGTATTTCTATTTTGGTGCACTGAAATGTGAAAAGGGTTGTCAGTTAAACTATAACTTAAATAGAGAAAGTAGCTTTGTAAAGAACTATTTTTGGTTATTGTATTGATTATAGGTTTAGTATTAAAAGAAACAAATATTCAGTTTTATCAAATAAATTTTTTACTATATTAGTGTTGTTTTCGATATCAATCTATAATTAATTATAAAAATGGGGCCTTGTTAATCTTAATCTAAATTGAAATCAAGAAAAGATTTGCAACAACCAACATTAATCAGAAAAACCGATCAAGTACTCACAAATAACAACCCTTCACTAAATCTTCCAAGCTTTTCCCCTAACCAAGAGGTTAATAGCGAGCCTTATGACGACACTAAAAAAAACTTGTCCCAACTAAAAGTGTATAGGTTTTCATACAAGCAGTTTTACAGTGAAATCACTTAAGGAAACATGAGATGTAAGTTTTTGTGTTTATATAATAAAGTGTAGTTGAATTAGAAGTTGGTTCAGCATAATCTAACAGGTAAAATCAGAGTAGTTGAACAATACGAAAGAAATTAATAAAATGAAGAGTTCATCAGCCAATTGAAGAGATATCCCCTGGTATTACATAAACCTTATCGTTCTATAGGACAACCCTCGGATCGTAACTGTGCACGAATTGTTCATCGTTGAGGAATACTACCATCTGATTGTCGATTATTGCAGCGGAGGACAACTCTCCAATTACTACGTTGACAAATCCATCATCCCATTCACTGAAGCTGAAATAGCCTCGATCATCTATCAAGCTGCAGAATCTCTTCGATATTTGGAACAGATTGGATTGACACATGGCTTCCTGGATTTAAATAGTTTCTCCAGAGTCGATATGTCACATCATTTTCAAATCAAACTTAGCGACATAAGGGGTCTATTTGTAAAGCCGAACTTGAATAGACATAATGTTTTCAGTCTTCCACCTGAAGCCTGCATTAAAAAAGACTAAAGTGAATTCGATCACCAGAGAGATCTTTGGAGTTTGGGAGTGATGGCATATTAGATGATATGTGGATATCCTCCCTTTGAAGGAAATACAATTGAATCAGTGAAATCGTAAATTAAAAAGATGGCTGCCCAATATAACAATTTTCAATTCGATAGAGTATCCAAATTATGTAGACAACTGATTCAAAGAGTGTTGGTGCCTGCTAAATAGAGAATATCGCTGTAAGCCTTTATGAATGATCAATGGTTCAAGATCAGAACCAAGTAAAATGATCAAAATCTTTTAACGAAACTTTAGTAAAATAAGGTCAAAGTTTCAGAACTCTAACAGTTGTTTTTGATATTCATAATTAAGAACATTTGCTCAGCTGATTAACAATAACTCTATACGGAATTTGCCAATTTGGATGAAAATCAAGATGGACAATTAACCAAAGATGAGATTCTCAGAGTGTATTCGAATCGGTTTGATTCAAAGGCAGATGCGAAGTTGTTCATTGAAAACATTTTCAAAATAGCTGATGTCGATAAAAGTGGTACAATAGATTTCGGAGAATTTCTGGTAGCCATTACTGATAAATCTGGATTACTGACTGAAGAAAATCTTAAAACAACATTTAAGATGGTTGCATCAAGCAATGGTAAATTGACCACATAAAAACTCAGATTTCATTTCAACACTTCAGTCTCCAAATTAGATAAATTGTTTTTAGAAAACTTTAATAATCCATAAGTAATTTATAAATATAAAAATTAGAATGTTGGGTATTCGGAATTTGAAGCACTGATGAAATAGTTATTGTGATTTATACCTATATATTTATATACAATTATTCGAGTTGATTTATTGCCAACTGCATTCTCTTTTAATGAATAATTGCTCTTTATAATTATGAATTCCAGAATCATTGAATGATTAGTCTAATATTTTAAAGAAAAAATAAACAAAATGGATCCCTATTAATAAATCACACCTATGTTCATTAAATAATGCTTATTGACAAGTGAGAGTTACAATCAAGCTAAGATAATCAAATAGGCTGTGAAAGACAATAAAGAGTAGTTATTTTAAACAATATGCATCACAATTTCAGAAGTTTTGGTTTTGAATCCAGTTAATGACCCGAATCCTCCCATGGCTAAACTATAAGCTGTAAAGGTATGTTTTAGATCTATCTTTGTAGTTGAGCAAAGATTTATTTGATATTTTTAATAAGAGTTTTGTACATCTATTTGAAATACATGCTATATAATAATTTATATACTATGTAGAATTTGGAGATCCAAAAGACTCAAACAGAGGAAGCACAATCTTTGGATAAAACTCAGGTAATTAATTATTGATAATTCAGAAACATAAATTAAAAATATTGGAAAGTCCCTTGTATAATTTACTTCAGAATGCATTATTGCTTGGGCTTTGTTTTTTCCTAAAACCCCCTCAGGTTAAACCACTAAATTTGTATAGATTTATCAAAGTATGCAAAGTAAAGGATATAAAATATCTGGCTGGAATTATTATAAAGAAAACTTTGTAAGAAGTAATCAAGCAATAATCTAAGGTGAATAAATTGTTTAAATGCCAGTTGATGAAAATGGTGTCATTCTCAAAAGATAACTCTATTTTATTAAAGGATGTTAATAGATTTTAGATTATATGAGAAATATTTGCATCAATAATGAATAATGGGTACCTGATATGTTTAAACAATATTAAAACGAAATTATAGCTAAAAATAAAGATGTGTAAAAATAGATTGATGATCTAAGATCCATAAAGAGGGAGGATCTAGTAAAATAAGTTACTGAATAGGCTATAATATTTGAATCTTTAGAAAAAGATCTATTGTCACTTACTAGTGAGAATTATATGGAATTTAGAGAAAAATATACCAAAAATAAGGATAATGAAGCACAAAATTAAGTTGCAGTATAGAAGTAAATAATATAGAAAACAGAATTACATCAACCATCAGGTGTTAATACTATTGAAATTTAATAACCGATTATAGTGAATGATGATTCTAAAGCATAATATCTCTAACTTGAACAAGAAAAATAACAAATTTAAGAAAAACTTTCTAATGCTCAAAAGGAGTTTAATGAATATAAAATAAACTCTTAAAAAGTGTTTTAATAATTAAAAGACTAATATGATTTAGAGATTAAAAGTAATGAAATCGAAAGACAAAAACAATATTAAGAAAAATAAAACTTAATGAATTAAATTGAAAAATTAAAGGCATAATTAAATAATGGGATTGAATAATAAAATAATTTGATGATAGGTTAATTAAAAAGAGATATTGAAAACTTAAAATAAGAGAAAGAATTAAAAATTTTTAATTTCCAATAAGAAATAAATTAATATTAATAAAAAGCTACTGAATTTGAAACTATCCAATAAAATCTTACACTTTAATTGAATTTATACAATTCTTAAATACTAAAAATGCAAAATGAATATTAGATTCTAAAAGAGAATTAATAAAAGGAAAAATAAGAATTTTAAAAACAGATACTTGAGTCTCGTTAAAAAGAAGAAGATATGTAAAAATAACTGATAATTAAAGAAGAAGAAATGTAAAAATAACTGATAATTAAAGAAGAAAACTACAATAAATTGTACTTAAATTATTAAGCACTTAAAAAAGAAAATGAGAAATAGAAATGTATAATTTAAATTGAAATCTAGATGAGATTTAATAGAATTTATAACAAAAATAAATATCAAAAGATATTAAGCCCAAGTAGTTATAGACATTTCCATTTCCTGCCTTCTTCCAACATTTTCCTTAAATCCAAAAGTTTACGAGCGAAGAGGTGCCTTACAGATAGAAACCTATTAGTAATGAAAACTTAGAGCTCATTTTCCCTTATTTAAGCCCTCAGGATTATTTTAATTAGAAACCACAAAAAACTCGAAAAGGAAAGGAAATATATTTAGGTTAAGACATTAACAATTTTTCATATTTAAGCGAAAAAAACTTAATTTTCTTCAAACGGAGATGCTCAGGAACTTAAGGTATTTTGAATGTATCTTCTGAATTGGAATTTGGTTTGTCCTATTTGACTCAAGAATCATAAAACAAAGTTTATTTCACTTATGGTTTGTATATCAAAAATTAATAAATAGCAAAGTAAAATTTGAAAGTTGAATTTTTAGAAATTGAAAGTAACTATTTATGCTATTTAGAATTCTAACAATTTTAAGCTTCTTCTGATGTATTTTCAAAATAATTAATTGAAAATTAAATTGAATTAATAGAGATATTAATAGAATCAAAAGTTATTCATCTCTAAGTCTTGACATTGTAAATTACTCTTTTTGAAACAAAATCATTCTAAATATCCATTCCTATTTGCATTTGTTAATAAATAATTTACGCTGATACCAATTTAGATAAATTTAAAAAAGAATGGAAATAAAAGAATACTAACATAGTCAGAACAGCTTAACTCAAGCTAAACAAATATGTTAGGAAAGATATTTAAAGCATTCTAAAGTTGATACCAAAATCAATTATATTGAATTTCAATAGAATTCAAGATTTTGAATAGGGCATAGCTGCAGTAAAATTTGGAGGCATTGGGAAGTTTAAAGATATTTCATTCTTAATAAAAGTATAAATTGTAATTGATATTGTTTTCAGTTTGAAATTTAGCCAAACAATACATTTTTCATTTACCTATCTTGTCAATCTGCGCATACTAATAAAAAGGACAAAATTGAGTAAATATTAAAAGGGTATGCCTTTATATTGTAGTCGAATAGTTGATATTCTTGATTAATAATTTATTATGATAAATTTAGAAACACATTTGTTTACTTAAATTATATTAAAAATATAAATTCAATATATTAGCAATATTACAAAAATATAGGGCAATTGGGTCGATGGGGAAGGAGTTTATTATAATTTGTGATATAATAAATTAAAACGGATACGATATGGTATTAAAAAATCAACTAAAAATAGAATGAGGTAGAAGAGCATTAAAAAAGTCTAACGGAAATTTAGATTTTCCATTTCTCGGAATGACTAATTTATTAGGCTACCTTGCATTGATTTTAGAGTTCCCTATTCTATTATGTTCGGCGAATTTTTTTTTTAAATCTTAAGTAGACAAACAAAGCAAATCTAAAATTCTTTCTTTGGTTTCTTGAGTTAAGGCAGGCATTTCTTTATTTTTCATATTTTATTTGGTTTCCAAGAAGAATTAACTATCTTCTTCTAGTTCGATATAGTTTTCTGTTTTCTTTTCAATTTTCTTTATGCCACTAACAATTTTATCTCCCAATATGGATTCAAATTTATCCCTTGGTTCTGTTGGAATTGATTATTTATGAAGACGAAATAAAATATCTTGAGACTCATCTTGTTTAGAAATGGAATGAGTGGCAATTTCATTGGGCTCTGTTTTCATTTTAGTTAAGGGAGTAAAATTTTTTCTTCTATCAGTTCGAAGCTTGATATTATTGATATGTTGACTCTTCTGTTTCTTTGTAGGTATAATATTAGAGGTTTAATCGTCAGATTTGATTCTTCTGGTGGTTGGTAATTTGTACACTGAGAAATCGTTGATAATTTTATATTTTGATATGGATCCATCGTGCAATGGAGAATTGAGAGTAGGAATACGTTTATTCGGGTTAATGCGATGTCTTCATATGTATAATAGAGTTACAAATCTTTGAATTGGGTGGGAGAGTGCAAGGGCTGAGCAATAATTGGAGTTTTCCTTCGAACTCCTTAACTGTTCGAAGGGGTTTCCTCTTTATTGAGAAAACTAATCTTATTTGTTGAGTGACGAGATGAAAGATTAGGAGGTCTTATGAAATAGGGTTGTTGTTGTCTCATTTATTTTACAAATAAATAAAATATAATAATGAGATTTCTAATAGTAAATGGATTCAATGCTTCTACATCTTGTGCTAAAGTGTTTGACTATTTTAGGAATAACATTTAGAATGTATATAATTATATTTAGTTTTAGATGATATCAAAATAACGAGAAGTAGCAGATACAGAGTGTGAGTATCATTTTCGAGATCGCCATTCTTTAGATGATTTTCTGTATGAGCCCGAGACAAGTTTAATCAGAATGGAATATGGGTTGAAATTTAATTCTATTGATATTGTCTTCATTATAGCTTCCCCAAATTCAAGACCTTGGAATCCAAATATGAGGAAGGTATAAATACTATATGAATAAGATAATCACTTTGATTAGAATGTGTTTGAAGACCAAGAAGCTATTATTCTGTACTTCATTTGGTGCACAGGCTATAGCTTACCTTTGTTCAACAAATTTTTCAGTTGTAACTAGTTTATTTTTGACCCAAGCATGCTTCCATTACTAACAATCATGGGGAAGGTTGCAAATTGGTGGATTTTCCAAAATATACACTGTAAGCATTGAAAAATGGCCCTAATGAATACTTCTTGGATTCCACCACTGGCGATCTTTACTTTTACTGTAAAATAACTGATGAGTGGTTACCGAAAGCCAACATAGGATTGCACAATAGAAGAGATGCCATGGAGTATCAGTCGATTGGCAAATACATTGTCAAATCACCGACCTATAAACCTAAATAGAACATGTTGGAAAATCAAAGTGAAATGATGTGTTTAATCAAAAAATAATTTTTGCATCACTGGTTATTTAGAGGAGTTGCCATGGAGTTTGGCATCACCTCTTATAATTAATGGGATATCCATGCAATCACGTTTACCAACCCAGACAAAGTAGTTATTGAGGTTATTTAGAAATTCAACTCGTTGGCAGAGCATAATTTAAGAGGACCCTTAATCATTGAGAGTGACAATATAATAGCAACGATGTTCGAGTTGGAACCCAAATAGAAGGATACTGTAAAAATATTGCAGAATTTTATTGACAATGCTGTGAAAATGATTAGATTCAACAACAATTATAACCTTATTAGCATCACCAATGAGAAGTACTTTTCAGGAAATAAGGGATTAGACAATATTGAGTTAGTGTTTTAATAGAAAAAGAAGGTGGGCAATTTGAATCCTGAAGATTTGTTAAAAAGATAATAGAAGAATTTTATGCATGAATATAGGAAATTACTGAACACAGCCATCTAAGAAACAGAAAGAGATAAGATATTTCATGTTGGATTCTCGGTCAAAAAGGATAGATTACCAGAGTATTACCTTATTAATATAGTTTTGTATAGCAAAATAATATCCAGGAGAAGAATTATAAAGTGGTGAGACGAAAATCATTTCAAATGAAAAAGGCTCACTTCTTAAGGCAACAGAGTTAGATTAATGTGGGAGGAGATGATGATGAGTAGATGAGGGATTTGTTAGAGGAGGCTCCCAGAAAGCCTTTGCCATTCCAACGTGTCGTAACGACTGCCAACAACAGTAAACGGATAACCTCAAAAAAAAATTCAAATCCTAAGACACCAAATACTATTGAAAATTAAGACAATGAATTCCAAGAGTTTGAAATCAAGATGATCAATAATGGGTCTGTTAGAAAAATGCTACATCCTTCACTAGATGAAGAATTCTTAGGATCAAATAAGATATGGGTTCCAGGATTCCTTTCGAAGGATAAAAGCAAGAACAATCACATCATTCACAGTCAGAGAGGCTAACACAATCAGAATAACAGATTTCACACTGATTCACTTGTCGGTTGATAAGAATAATTATTCAAATATAAATTATTTTATTTTTATGTAAAAGTACGAAGTTCTTGGCATCATAGGCAAGGGTTCTTATGGTGTTGTACTCAAGGGTTAAAATAAGGAAACAGGAGAAGTAGAGCAAATTAATAATTTAGATCGTAGCCATCAAATAATATATTGGTTCTGAAGAAGATGAAAGCATTAAAAAAACAATCCTTCGGGAGGTTAAACTATTGAAAATGCTTAATCACGACTATATTGTTAAAATCAAAGAGGCCTTCAGAAGGTATCATATAATCAAATCATCAATAGAAAAGGCAAACTTTATGTGGTATTAGAATATGTAGAAAAAAACTTATTGGAATTACTTGAAGAAAAACCAAATGGTTTAGATGTAAAATTCAATTAAAATCATAGCCTGAATTAGCAAGAAGATTTATTTACCAATTATGTTTAGCCATTGCATATTGTCATTCACTTGAAATTTTACATAGGGACATCAAACCTGAAAACCTTCTGGTCAGTGACTAAATGGTCTTGAAGGTTTGTGATTTTGGCTTCGCAAGACTCATTCCATAAAAATAAGGATAGTTAACTGATTACGTTGCTACTAGATGGTATAGAGCACCAGAATTGCTGTTGGGAGATGAATACGGTAAAGGAGTTGATATCTGGGCCATTGGATGCATAATGGCTGAATTGACTGATGGGTAACCCTTATTTCAGGGTTAAACTGAAATGGATCAACTATATTTGATTTGTAAAGTTTAAAATAGTGTAATATTATTCTTAGTTACTTGGTCCATTGACCAGTGAATAAAGGGAAGCCTTCCTTAAGAATCCTCGTTATGTGGGAATGAAATTTCATGAAATCACTAAACCAGACACAATTGAGAAAAAGTTTTAATCTAAACTTTCTTTGAAAGCCATTTCGTTTATTAAAGGATTGCTCAAAATGGATCCAAATAAGAGGATGACTATATTTGAGGCATTAGAGCATCCCTACTTTGATGGCATGAGAGATGATCAATACTATTAGTTTTTAAAAGAATTAAGAGACAAGGAACAAATTCCAAAGGATAGAATCCAATCTGCCAATAAATTAGCTGCAAAATAAACTCAATAGACCAATCAATAGTTATAATAATTGTAGTTGCAGCAACAACAGCAATAATAATATTAAGTATTATCATAACAGAAAGACAATTTGGGCAGCAACAAAAGAGCTGATAAATCAAATGAAAGGTATAATAATCTCTTAATAATTCTTAGGAAAACATAATAAAAAGGAAATAACAATATTTCTGTTGAGAGAGTAAATAACTTTGTAAAGCCTGCACAGATAAGAACAGGAGAAAAAAATACAGTAGATTTCAATCCCATGAATTAACCTTCTTAGGAATCGAAATCAATGCCTAAAAAGGATGTGAATTCATAATTAGGTTTCTTGTAAAAGAATGTTATCATTGGATATTAAGAAGGTCAATTCGATAATTTCTTATAAAATAAAATGGCTTAAAATTATAACTACGAAATACCTGAAAATGATTTAAACAATTCAATTGAAGGAGAGAAAAAGTCCATGAATCTCAGGGCTAGAGCAAAGAAAAAATCAGTTAATCCTGACATAAATGAGGATGATCAAACTACAATTATAAAACCAAAAAGAAAAGAATAATAATAATAATTATTTTAACAATAAATACCATCATATTAAGTTAAAAAGAAATCTAATTAATTGAGGTAAAACTTTTATCCAACTGATGAATATTCTGGTGATGAATAGGAAGTCTATTAATCAAAGGAAATTTTGAATATTCAAAAAGGCTAAAAACAACAATAATACAACTACAATATTGGGGAATGTAGGAATACATAAGAAGACTAGGATAAGAATTTAAACATTGTGTATAACAATATCACTTATAATTATAATATCAACAATTCTCCTGGATGGATGAGCAAGAAAAGAAATTGATTATCTAAATTTATATCATATTATCATTCATTTTTAGTTTTCAATTGAATATAAATTATACTCTTTTTTTGATCTTATTATGATTAAATCAAGTCTCAATTATATGTTTATATAATAATAATAAATATGAAAATAAATATTCAAATTGCAATTAGTATTTCAGAGGGCATCAAACATCAATTGTTAAAATTAATTGAAATTTATCTAATAATTATAAATTATTATTACTTAATTATTTTCATAAACAGAAAATTGCTATTTCAACTATTGTTTTTTGTTGTGGTATAATGTACAAATTTTCGATAATGAAATGAAGCCTTCCACATCTGATAGTATTTTAAATGTCTCTTTAAGATTGTCTTCAGTAATTAATGTCTCTTTATTTATAACTCCAATCAAAAACTCTTAGAAATCAATTTCCCCATTTTTATTGATATCAATCCCTTTAAATACAGCATCTACATGTTCCTTAACTTCTTGGATACTACTGAAATGTTTGATGTAAGCGATTGTTAGATCTTGCTTACTGATCTTGCCATCATGATTAACATCGAATTGCCCAAAAAGTTGATAAAGGATCTATTCTTAATCGGCTGAAAAAGTGGATATCATAAATTACAAGAAGCAACACTAAAGAAAACTCAATTAATGATTATTTTCTAATTGCTTAACTATTAACTTCTATTCTTCATACTGAGTCTCTATATTGTGTTTTAGCCAATGATCATTTAAAACTTAATTCAAATTAATTCTTTTGGCAGGATCAAATTTGAAGAATCTTTTGATGATATCTACAGATTCAGGTGGCAAACATTGTGAATTTAAATCTTCTTGCACCGAATAATTCATAATCTCCTCAAATACTTCCTCTTTATTATTGCCTTTAAAAGGGAATTCCCCAGTCAGCATTTAGTAGAATATTACTCCTATGCTCCACACATCCCTTGCAGGAGTATAATCTTCAGGAAATTTGATAGCCTCAGGGGACATATATAGAAAGATATCTTTTTCAGAAATATATGATTTTAAGTAAATAGGTTTAAAATCGACTAATTTAATAAAATTAGAGTTTGATTGATTACATTTCTAAAAAGAAGCCAGTGTTAATCCCCCATGATTGACTTCGTATTAATGAAGATGCTTGACAATTTCAATCATCTGTTTCAGAATCAATGCTGCTTACTATTGAGTGTAAACACATTTATGTAGGTGTTGGGACAAAAGAGGTCCATTGCAGAAATCATGAATTATTTGATAATTATTACTATCCTAGAAGATTTCGAAAATTCTTGTTAAATTAGGATGGTACTAAAAATATATCATATATTTTGTACCAATTAAGTTTTGACTATTGACTCAATGAGCTAAATTCCTTGGTCTGTTTTTTTAATCATCTCAGCCACCATTATTCTACCACTGAGATTATGTTAGACTACTACAATGTGATCTAACTATTTAATTCGATAACAAAATTGGTCTTTGCTTAGCATAGTGTAATGTTTTGAGAATTGGGCATTCTTAATCGATACCCAAGTTTTGAGGGTTCCACGAAACCCTGCATTTTCGACTATTTAATCTGCCCATACCATATGCTTTACTTAACGAGTAGAAGGAGTTGCAGCAAACTTAGACAATACTTACTTTGGTGAGGAAGCAGTTGGCTTTATGCTTTTGATGCTTCTTTCAGACCTAACCTATCTTTGAATATCAAGAGAGTAATCATTTTGAAGAGTCTATTTTGTTTGTTGTTCCCCATGTTCTTTAATTTGAACATTCTTTTGTCGTTTAGCTGAACAGATTCCCATATTTAAATTTTTATTTTTTGTTTGATGTGATCAGTTTATTTAAGAAACTTGTATACTTAATTACTGTATAAATATATTTTATCAAATTAAGAAGAGAATTTAGAGTATTTTCTATATTAATTTACAATTTTCACTTTATGTGTTTCCTGGATATCAAATTAAATTAATGAAGAATTTGCGAGAAAGGAAGAATATTAAAATTGACTAAAGTAGAATTTCAGGGACAGGAATTCCATAATGATATCATTAAGTTAGTTTAAATGTCTTAGATTTTGATTGGTTTGTAATGATACATAACTATTTATTTGTATGTATTTGGTATTATAATAGGTGATATTTTAATTAAATGAACGTAGAAGAGTTAAAGGAAGCTATTAAAAGAATTGGGCAGTGTTAATAAGAGTAAGCTGAATACACTAATAATAGGTCTTAATATGAGTTGGATATTGTGTGGCAGCAAATCCAGCACCCTGTTGGATTCGATTTATTGTTTCAATGTGCAAAGAACGTAATCGAATTCAGACAATACACACTGTTTTGGAAAGTAAGTACCATCTTATTATGAATAGTCTGCGAATAAAATCTTGATGCACATAGTGAAGTTGTGTTTAAATAATCAGGATTAATTGAAAGCCTGGGAGACACTGCGTCTAACCATAGATCCAGATAAACATTTTTACAAATGCCATGAGTTAGTATAGATGGATGAGGATCAGGTATTAGAATCCAAAAGATTTTTAGTTTTCGCACTAGGAATTCTCTTAATAGGAGTTTTGTGCTAATCTATAGGAAGGATAAGATGTGGATGCATTATATGAGGATGAAAAGGGCAATGTGATAGGATGGTGTAGGGCAAATATCGTGAAGATTAATGAGAAATATGTGTGGGTTAAGTGGCATGAAAATGATGAAAAGAGAAAGATTGCTCGATATTCAATGGATTTGGCGCCGTATAAAAGTCAAGTGACAGATGAAGAGTGGCAATGGAGACATTCCCTTAATGCTGGCGATATAATAGATTGTTTCGATAATCGTGTATGGTAGAATGCTACAATTGTTACTGCTTTGAATGAAGAAGATAAGGAGTATGTCGTTGGATTTAGAGTGTATGATGAGAAGGGCAATTAGTATGACTCATAAAGCAGGAGATTCTTTGGTTGGAATCAATAATATGACGAAAGAATCAAGGCAGTGAGTCCAAGAATTCAGAAAAGAAATGTATTTTCAAGAGGACAGCCCTCTAATCCTCATTGTCAAGAGGAAAATATCCATGATTGCAATGATTTCCTCTATCCAAACACGGATTATGCAGTGCCTCGATTTTAGACCAAATAGGCTAGGAGATCAATTGTTATTTGCGAAATGATCAATGAATTCGGACGTGCTGGGTTATTTTAACACATCTTAGATTAGATTCTCAATAAATGCACCATTGATTTCTTACATAGTTATATGGTAGTGTTGAATAATTTCCATGAAATGTTACATAGAGAATTTGTTTCGGCATACGTTCCCTAATTGTTTGAAGCAGTCCAAAATAATATTTTGTTATCAGCTGATAACAATCTTAGAAACTTTTCATCCTAAAAGATAACTGATATTTTACAAGCATTGAACAATTTATTGAAAAGAGTGTATGCATTGCAAAAAAGATAGGAAATGATAGATAGATTGGATTTGGATATAGCGTATAAGTGTTTTACCAGTGACTTTTTAGAGAGAAAGATTTAAGGTTTGAAGGCTATTTAGGAGGTGATAAAGAAGTCAAAGGATCAATATAATCAATACGGAATGTAGGAATGGTAGAAACAAGCAACTACTTAAATGATATTGGAATGGTTGAATGAGAAGAAGATCTTTGAGAGTCTGTATGTTGGGTCTGGAAATTCGCATTTAGTATAGAGAAGTGCAGAATTCTTTAAGTTTTTAATAGAGGAAAAAATGATCAGTATTAATAATTTCAAGGACATATGGAATAGTTTGGATAAGGCTGAATATGAACATAAGTTAGCTATCTTTAAGTTATTCAAAGACGTTTCAAATTCGTTAGAGAAGGAGTGGTTAGATTTCTTGACTGATGCTGTGTGCACTAAGGATCCTAAGGATGTCACTAAGGATGATTTAGAGTTGCTGCTGGATATAATAAAGATGAATTTTAGATATAAAGATGAATATATCTAGAAGTGTTGCAATTACTATTGGACAATGTTGAAGAGCGGATAATTGAACTAGACAATGTAGGAATAATACATATCATATTACATTGATTAAGTCACTTAATATGAAATGAGACCACACAAAGGAGCTTAGATTAGTATGATTGGGGAAAGTATTGTGAATGGAGAATAAGTGAATGTAGGTTTGAGAGTGTTGATCAAATTGATAGAGAAACTGGATATCTAGCCAGCAGCTTGGGAATAATACACTAGAAATGTGGCTTTGACAGACTTGGAAAGTAAATTCAAAATAGTGGAGGAGATAATCAAATCTATTCCTGAATTGAAGAAGTAGAAGGATTATTTGGAGGAAATCAAGGTTAGAATGCAATTCATCTAATTCTTCTATCAGAACATAAATACTTATGAATACAGATTAACTTTCAAGATAATTTCAAGCATATGGGAATAATTGGTTTGTTAATCATCAAATCAACAGGAGAAGGATCTTGTGTATAAGTGGTTTAGTGCCTTATCGACTTAGGATGGTCAATCTCAATTAACATCGATGGTGGCTATTTAAGATCTCAAGGCCTTCTTCAATGAGAAGATGACAAATGACCTAATTCAGTTGACTGAAGAAGGATTTAATTGTTTTAAGACAGTAATGACAGCAATAAATAAATAAGATGATAACAGTTTTGGTCTTGATGTATTGTGGCAAATGATTTTGGAAACTGAAAATGAAAAGGTCTCATAATCTGCAATAGATTATTATCTTTAATTTGAAAGCACATTAGATGTGTTATTCAATAAATTACAAGAGAATAGAAACAATGATCAGAAATTACACAGATGTTTGCTGGTATTGGAAGGATTCATAGATCAAAGTGAGGTCAATGGAGTAGGCAATTTGAAGAGTTTAAATGCTTTATCACAAGGAGAAGAATTGTAAATTTAGGTTTCATATGAACATGGAAATTAAAAGAAGTTTACTATTAAAATTAATGATAACCAAACTATTATTGAGTTGAGATTGGCAATAAGCAAAGTCATTAAATAATAATGGGATTCCATTGGATTGAATAGTTTGAAAGGAGAAATTAAGTTTACAGAAAATGGAAAAATGATCAAAGATTTAAGATTAAAAAAGGGAGAAATCATAATGGTTTTCAGAAAGTAAGTTAAAGAAATACAAGAGGCTAGTCTCTTAGATGGAGATGTGTTATCAGAGGGTGCAAAATAAGTATTTGGAGAGATCTTTAGTGAATATTCTACTGATGGTAAAATGAGTAAGGAAGATTGCACTCGATTTGTTACTGGATGTACAGGCAATCCTTGTAGTATTGATGATGCCAATATCCAAAGAACATTCGAATAATATGATAAAGACAAAGATTCCATTCTGACTTTGAGTGATTTCTTCGACTTTTACACTGATTCTGCAAGGACCAAGAAATCAACAGTCTGGCTCAATCTCCAAACCTTACATTACAGAAATGATCTAATCAGAGGAGATAGAGTACCCCTACCCTAAGTCAATGCTTAGTTATTGCCCAGAGGATAGATTGTGTAGAATCAAAGATATTTGGATTTGCTCTTTGAACTTTTACAGAATTCTAGTATTGAAGTTTAAGAGAAGACTTGGTATTTATTGAGGAGGTTGCCTCCCTCCCCTTAATTGATTAAATAGATGCTCACCTTTGAGAACATCTAATAACCAACTGATTGGGATCAGATCTTAGTTAGCAGTCATTACAGATTACTTTACAGTCTATATATCATTGAGTTTCTGATGAATCAACATGACTCGAATAATTTGTAAGCATTGATAGATGATCAAGAGATTTTGGTGTTAAAGGATAAATGGATGAGCAAGTTTTTACAACTTGGAGGATTTGATAAATTATTGCAATTCTTTAAATAATATTAAGGTAGAAGTGTGAGTACATTGCCTCAAATCGAAAAAGAAATCTTGTCATTTCTTTTAAAAACATTCCAAAATTATGTTATTGCTGCTTGTGCCTCTAATGTACCTAATTTGTACAAGGCATCAAGGGGTATTCAAATCATCAAACCTTTGGATCAAGTGTTACTCGATATTAGATAATCTGAGGATCCTGAGGAGTTTAAATTACTGGTGCAAAAATTGAAAGAGAGTCGTCTTGGTGATAGTATAACTGAGAAGATCGAGAAATTCATTGGTGTTTTAATCAACTTGATTTAAGAATTGCTTAAGAGTAATGAATTAGAATAGGAAGATAGATAGATTATTGAACATAGTGTTATAGTAATAATCGTAATCTTATTGCATAATTAAGAATTACTTACAAGTAGCATAGAAAATGTCGAGTTCATTAATATTTTCTTCAGTGGAATCTTTACTGATAAATCTGATACTGTACGTAACTTATTTAGTAGAGCAATACTAGTGCTTTGTCATGAAAGTCAGAAACGAAACAATCAACCTACCAAAATTATATTATAACAATTGATTTCCATGTAAAATCAATAAGCCAATTCATCCTAATATTATGAATTATTAAGTCAATTGATCGACAGTGCCTTTGAGAGTGAAGACTCTTAATAATTCATTGATTATCAACAATTGGCATAATAAGTGATTGATGGTTTGGTTAATCATAAAAGTGTAGAGACAAGATAAAAGTCAACGGTTGTTGATAAGGTCCTTGTTGGTCTATTGAACCTATTGACCAAATTGTACAAATTCATTAAGTAGCCAATCCATGAAATCATATTTAACGATTGCTTGTTTAGTCTTTAAGAGGAGAAGGAGGTGAAATGCAAATCGAGTGAAAGTAGATAAGCTGCATTCAAATTGCTTTACTAATTATCTTATCAGTAGAATAATTGCGAGAACATTCTTTTAAATATGTAATAGTTGAGTTAGAAGATCCCAGTTATCAATAGGTGGAATTACATACCTTCAAGCGATATGAGAAGTTCCTTTGGCTACTGCGGAATAAGAAACCTTAGATGCATTTGCTATATGAATGCCATGCTTCAACAGTTTTATATGACCATTCCTTTTAGATATGGTATCCTATAAGCTGATGACGGCAAAGAACCTGATCTTTAATAAAGCAAGACAGGATTTTAGTTTGACGACAATGTTCTTCATCAATTACAATAAATGTTTAGTTATCTTGAGTTATCTGATCGAGTTGATTATAATCCCTAGGAGTTTTGTGCAGCATTCAAAGATTATGCAGGAGAACCAGTCAACATTTTCATTCAATAGGATGCTCAGGAATTTTTGAATATGATTTTTGATAAGCTGGAGAATCTCCTTAAGAATACAATCTATAAGAATATTTTAGATGGAGTTTTTGGAGGCAAAACCTGTACCTAAATTGAATGTCAGAATTGTAAGGCAATAAAGAACAAGGATGAGATATTTTATAATTTGTCTGTTCCTATTAAGAATCTCAAAAATCTATAAGAATGTTTCGATAAGTTCGTGTAAGGTGAAATCATCTCAGATTTTAAATGCGAGAGTTGCAATTAAAAGGTTGAAGTCAGTAAGAGATAATTGTTAGCTTAATTACCAAATGTTTTGATATTACATTTATAAAGAATTGTATTCAATTTGGATACATTCATGAATGAAAAAATTAACTCTCGTCTAGAATTCCCAATTAATTTGGATTTAGCATAGTATACTATAAATTAAGATTAATGTACCTAATATAAGTTGGTTGGCATAGTAGTTCATTTGGGAACTGCTGACGTAGGACATTATTTTAGTTATATTGATATCAAAACTCAAAATTAATGGTTAGAATTCAATGATCATAAAATTAAGGAATTCAAATTAAAATAAATGGAGAATGAATGCTTTGGTGGTCAATCTAATTTAGAATACAACGATAATGATGTTTGGGGGAACGGTTTTAGAGAGAACTCTTAAAATGCTTATATGCTGATTTATGAAAAGGTTGAAAAGGACAAAATTCAATTAGAATTCAACTCTTAAGAGGAATTACAGTTATCATTGTCCAAATTTGAGAATTACACTATTCAACCAAATAATGTACTATTAGTAGATTATAATTCATTCCAACCGCATATTCCTAGTCAATATCATAAGAAGGTGAACAGTGATAATCAATAGTTTTTATTAGAAAGGAATCTTTTCAATCAAGAATTCATGAAATTCATATTGGAGATAAGTAACTTTGCGAATAGTGATAATGCAACTGTGATAATAGAAATTCTCATTCGATTTAACTATGATTTATTGGCTCGTGCCTATGATAATTCTATTTCAGAACAATTTAACACAAAGATCTTGCAACTGATTCAGTAATATCCCAATAGCAACTATCTAGATTTGATATACTTTGGAAAACAAGCCAAAGTATTAGATCTCTTGCTGGTTTGCCCAGAATCTAGAACTCGTAAATACTTCGGGAAATTGTTAGCAACTTTATTCAATCAAGCAATTCAAATTCAAGGGGAAATCACAGAAAAGATTTCTGAGGGATTAGATCAATTATTCCTTATGATATAAGATCAAGTACCTAAGAATTGGACACGCTTTGATTAATATTTCTAATTTTGGCTAGACTTCATTCAGGAAGGTAAAGTCTAGATTTCATATTGTTTGAAGAAAGAAATGATTTTGTACATGATTGATTTCATTCTGGATAAGAGCAGTCCCTTGTAGTTATATGAAAAGAAGACTCAAATGGGAAATGCCTACTTTCCAATCAATTGTTAAATCCCTATGCAAATTATAAGCACTCTACTTTAATAAAATCATAAACTCACTCTCCAAGAGAAGAAATTGCTTTATTCACCTAAATTTTATGACAAGGCTCTTAAAAGTACAAAAATTGAAGAACTAACTCCAATCATACTTAAATTTGCTTATAACAATCGATATTTTTCAGAAATAATATCAGGATGTATTATGAGAGGTCTTGGAAATGGGGATATTGATGAGTTCAAAAACTATCTCTAAATGGCCAAACCATTCTTGTTAATCAAAGACAATCTATAAATTGAACGTTTGGAATGGCTAGTAGGAATCCCCTCATCGAAATAGAAGGACTCAACTAAGGTTTATGATAGTCAACTTACAGAGTATCCACAATTTGGACTTTTTGGATTGACCAGTTTAGAAGAAGATTACTGGACATTTGCTAGTCCTTTGGGATGGTAAAATAGTCTCTTTGATAATTTCTGTTCTCACAGGACCATTAAGAATTTGGATAATCAATGTTTGTTAATCCTTAAACTACTATTAATGATTAGTCTCGAATGTGAGACCTGTTATGATTATGTCTCCAAACTGCCTTGTGTTAATTATCAATATGTAATTATTCGTTTTCATTTTAATAGAAATAAATGGAGGAAATCTTCAGAGCATTCATTGAAACCTACATCATAGATACAAAACGATTCTATTCCCCATTTCCTCGAAAACAAGAAACCGAGGAGGTGAAGGGCTACTTGGATTAATATTTTACCAAAGTGTCACAGATTCATAATGAATTCTAACCTCAATTTGATTATATCATTGGAAAGACAGTAGAGATGAATAAAGTTAGAAAAACCTATTTCCTGTACAATCCTAACACAAAGGAAGAAACATAGATAGATGAAGGATCTGAGGGTTTCCCAGAAATCAAACAGTAGATCGAAGAAGGTAATTTGCAAAAGGTACTTACAATGGAAGTAATTAATACGTTAATAATTCATATAGGAAAAGATATATAAAACAAATGTGTGCGATAATCTACCTAATGGAACTACCAATGAGTCCTTACCTTAATAATACGTTAAAGGAACCTAAATTCTTACTTATTCTGTGGATCCCAATTGTTAAGCTGCCAACTTCCTCTAATCCAATGCCTGGAGTGCTGAGAGTGACGAAAAAGCCACAGTAAGTAATCCAAGAATTGCTGATACGGTTAAATAGATTTAGATTCAGAATCACACAAATAGAAATTTACATGTGATCTTAGAAATCAAAGGTGAACCTAATCCTTGCCATTACATTCCCAAATCCAAAATACAATCACTTATGAGCTCTAAGAGTTCGACTACAATGTTCACAGCCATTAAAAACAACTGTAATTAGGAATTCCCACCACTTTAATTGACATTAGTGTATAAAAAATAAGAGCCGAGACAAGACTCTTACCTATATTTATCGTCTTAAGAAGAAATGAATTTGGAATTATTATGATATATCTATAAAAATATATATACAACATTTATTCTTAAATTCATTATCATTCAAAATACTAAATCCAATTAAAAATCCCAGAGCAACTCATGCAGAAAAATAGATATATATATATATATGAATTTCGTTTGTTTAATTAAATACAAAAGTGGGGGGGTCTTTCGACCTCTAAAAATTTATGTAAGTCACCGGTATGAGCCCAACCCACGGTAATCTTTAGTAAAAGGCGAAAAATTAGCACGTTATAGGGTGAGCTCGGTGATGAATGACTTATATATTAATTTTAATTTACTTAAATATCAAATCCAATTTTCTCTTTTTATGGGTTTTAATTTTCCATTAAAATAATTTTAAATTAAAATATTTCTTCCCTCCCTTTCTTTGGGTTTACAATCATTGAAATTATGCCAACCATATATCACACTTTCCTTATTACTTGTAAGAAGAGAGTCTAAATCTGTTGCTTAGAGACTTTTACCTTAAAGTGATATCAAAACTATTAATTGATAATTATAAATGGATTAAGAATCAAGATGGAATTTAATTTCCTTTATTTATATTTAGTTGCTTTGAAATGTCATATTAATAGACATCTCATTTTGATTGGGTGTTCCTTAACATTTTTAATTCTGAAGTAATAATAAATCTACTCTGTTTTAGAATTAGTTTTCCCTTTCTATCTGTAGGTTTCCTTTCCTTATTGACTGTTCACTTCTATAGATAATTGATATGATAAAAAGAAGAAAATATAAGACTCAAATTTCCCTTTTGATATGTGTTTTTTGATTTTATAATTCTGATCGTCAACATCAATAATTACTCATGAGGTCCATTTTAAAATCCAGTATTCTAGTATTATTATCAATTAACACTATAGATATTTCATCCTATCATAAATAATGATTGAATGGGTAAATGAAAGTATAAATAATTAATCAATTCTAGTTGGTAGGAGTAACATTGAAATTAACTTAATCTCATAGATTGACATGCTATAATTAGAATCGAAGAGAGATGCAGATTAGTAATTTGTAATTTCATATAATTTACATTTTAATAATTTTAACAGTTAGTTATGAACAAGGCTTTTCAAAGAAGTAATGATTAATAACAATAATAGAGCATTCAGACAATAGTATTCTCAAAGGCAAAACACAGCATAACACTCAACAACGAAGTCCATTGAGTACAAAAGAAAATGATATCAAATTTAAATATCCTGAAGTTCTTCGTCGAAAAGAATCCAAACCTTTGTAAGTACAAACCAATTAATCAGACATGAGATCTCCAAGTGCATAATCTACATAATCTCCAATTAATAGTAATAATTGAATATATTCATAAGAGAGCATTCTCATTACTCATAGATCTCAATCAATGTTTTAAGATGCATAATACATTGATTATATTATCACAAACAAAGAAGTGAATCAATTTCTTAAAAAACACTTCCTACATGAACATATGCATACAAATAGTTCCAGAAATACAAATACTAAATTGATTTGTGATTCTTGGGATAAAGTGCCTGTAACCTACTTTATTAAAGCTCTATTTAATGAGTATCCTGAAATCATAGAGGATCATCATTTAAATGAAAAATTGAACATAAAATTGAAAACTCTCATAAAAGATTTGATATCTGAAGATGGACAAGTCTTATCATTGAATAAACTATAAATCCATACTCGTCATTTAGGATTGCTGGGATTGTTGCTGACTGCTCTCAGAGACATTCAAGATGCACCTACTGTCAATCATAATACTCCTCATAATTAATCTATCTCACATGAATAGGAAATCTCTACTACTTAATAACAATAACAATAGAAGTTTCATAAGATGGCTTCAGATATGGCATAATCAGCTGAAAATAGAATTAATGAATTGGTTAATCTGAAATTGCAATAATTCACAGTCAAACAAAAAGAATTAGAAAAATAGATTTAATAATTGAAATAGAAGGCAACTGAAAACTTTGATCTGTTCTAACATGAAGCCAAAAACAAATAAGTGATCAACAATCTAACCTAATAATTACAATAAAAAGATCAAATAATTGCAGATCTAGAATAAAAACTCATTAAGAAATGGATGAACTCATCAATCGAAGAAGAAATGCATGCGAATAAGATTACCTAGCCAAAAGCATCTCCAATCAAAATTTAGAGTCCAAGCCAATCTCCCTTTTAATGATAGCAACCAATATTTGTAAAGAATGATTAGTAACTTATGTACTGTGTGGGACTTAGGTTGTATTAATGAAGATTACAGATTTGCTTAGATTATAACAGCCTAAGAAAATAATTAAATGCCTTACTAACATTTTCAATTAATTCCCATTATAAAGACAATTCCTGGCTTCAATGATTTTATTTTTAAATCACAAAACAACAATCACATCATCACTAATTTTATTTAGAATTGCATGAATAATGATAACAACATCATTTTGGATTTGTATTATGAAATTATCACTCTACTTCCAAATTTAAAAATTAGCGATCAGGATTAATATTTAATAAATATAATGTAATTGTTTCTAAAATTAACAGTTACAATTTTGTAGATCAAAACTGTATTCAACATTAATAAACTAAAAGAATGGGGAACCATCAAGAGACAACTTACTGAATAACAGAACTAATTTGTTAAGAATCTAATTAATCAGATAGTCTAAATTAATCAATACAGTATCAAGTAAGTACCTCAATCCAAATTATGGAGTCAACAATAAATTTATCATGATCAATTTGTCTCAGAATTTAACAATAGACTAATTGAGAATCAAGTAATCAATAACATCTTACGAAAACAACTGAGTCAGATACATAATAAATAGAATACAAGGTTGTCTCTTATCATTAGGATTATTCAGTGCTTTTATTATAATGATGTTGAAGAATTAATTGGTCTCATGTAATCAATCCAAGGGGAAACAGATATAGACATCTATCTATCTAAACTAATCTTAGATTGCGATTGCATCAACCTAATATTGTTTCCTAGTTTGTTCAATCCCAAATTTGTTCTTAAATCAATTACTAACTTACTTTAATTTAAGTGTCCTGGACAATTCTACTTATTGTATACGAAGTAAGTGTGTTAAATTAGGAATATCGATCTATTGATCGACTTATTAACTAAAATGCATAACTCTATGAATTCAGATGTTGTTGTTAAATTATGGGATGTGCTTGGAGCTATTGCTAAGAGCGCAACCTTAAAGGAATGTAAAGAAGGTCTCTAATTTGTAATAAGATTATATTCAAATTCTCATCAAGCAACAATATTACATAATATATAATAAGTATAAAAAAATTTAGCAATCCCAATCTGATTTTTTATTTTCAAATAATATTAAATAAATTAAATTAAAATGAATATTTTGAATTAACACTAAAATGCATTTCCACATCTCTTGCCTATCATTGATAGCATGAGAGTTTACTAAGAAATGAAATTGTGGAAGCAGCTGAGTGATTAATTGTTGGTCTACATCAAGGATCCTCAAGTCAATCAAGGAACCCATTTGAAAGATCTTTTTGAGGGCTTTGTCAAGAAGTTTTATTAGGAAATTGATGAAATGAAATTAGTGCGTATTCTCATTAAGACTGCAGAATAATATGGAGATTTCCAGAGCAGAATTGATTTCCTCAAATAATTCAAATTGGATGAACAACCTCAATTAGTCATTGAAATTTTGATTGCCTTCTTCAAGTTGTAGTAGGGACAACTATAAGAAGTTGATGAATTACTAAAACAATACAAGCAAAAAAGTGAAAAATTACAAGAAGTCGATCCACTTGTATATTCCATGCTCTACTATTTGGCATACAATTTCTACAAAATCAAGAATGTCTATGAAGAATTCTATGTGAATGCCCTTCAATATCTTGCATACACAAATGATTAAGACATGTTGCAAGAACAAAAGGTACAACTCTCATATGAGATGGCTCTTGCAGTTTTGATTTCACCAAACATCTATAATTTCAGTGAATTGTTGCAACAACCAGTGTTAGTTAGCTTAAAAGAAAGTGCCCAATACACTTGGGTCTATCAATTGTTGGATATCTTCAATAGGGGCAGTGTGAGGGAATTGAATAATTTCTAATGGAATGAGGAGAGAAAAAGAGTTATTCCCAATTTCCAAGTTTTGAATGAAAAAATTAGAATAATGGCATTTCTTGAATTAGCATTCTCTTTGCCTAAAAATAACAGGGTTTGCACTTTCGAGGAATTGTCTTAAGTGTCAGAGTTACCCTTAAGTGACATCGAAAGATTGGTAATGAGAACCATTAGTAAGGGGTTGGTCAAAGGCAGAATCAATTAAGTAATGCTATTGTATTAATAAATTTTAGGTAAAACAAACTATTACAATTTCCTATGTTGTTCCAAGAGTTTTGACTTTGGATAAAATTGAGATTATTAATAAGAAATTCGGTAATTGGGAGAAATCATTGAATGTCTTTCTTAAAGAAGTTGAAGATGTGAGGAAGACATTTAATTGATATATATAAATGTATAAAATCAATTAATTATTCACAAAAAGTATATTTTTTGATAGATTTAATCATTAATATTTGATAGACCACACATATTAGATGACACATACAATCATAATGAATTAGAATGAATGAAAATATGGTTGCAATCACTTAATTTAATAGACTCAAATTCTAAATTTTGGTTTATGTGAAGACTTCTTTTTCAAAGAGATATCTATGTTTTCTTTGTCGTGACCAGGTTCTTATACTGAATAACTAATGTTTCTTAATGGTTATTTGGTTATTAATTCTATAGAGTAATTTTGTTTCTTCTTTAGAGGAGTGTATGTCGAAAATTAATCACTAACATTATTTGAGACTTATTTTAATTTTACTTTAAGATCTTCATTTGAAACATTCAATTAATTTATGGTGATTTAATTTTCTGAATGGATCATTTTTAGAGTGGATATTTCTTGTGTGTAGTTATCCAATTTTTTAGAAAGAAATCTTTCAAATTAGGACAATTAAGTGTTGATTTTAGATATTATTTGATTTTAATCCAATTTTAATGCTATTTCATGAATAACCCATTAGCATAACTATTTATATTCGATGAGAATAGACTCTATAAGATTCCCACAGTGATAGGATTTTTTGGAAAGACAATTTAATTGAGAACCACCTCTAAAAAGTAGAAAATCAAATATACTTGTAAGGTACTCTCATAGGAGTGATTGATTATTCAGATTTGCAAAAAGCTCTGCAATTATTTGATATGCTGGAAATACTAGAAATAGTTGATTTCATATTATTCGTTAAAATAATTAATAAAAATAAATAAAAAAATAGCTTAAGACAATTATAATTAAGAACTTTAATGAATTTTACATTGAATAAACTTCCATTCCCAATATCGATACATTTTTAGACATTCTTATAATTTAGAATCTATAATAAGTAATTTACTAAATTATATTGGTATAACTAAATGGAACTTGAATGATCTCGATATTGAAAATTGTAGTAGAATAACAAACTATTTCTGTTGAAATCCTTATCCATTTAAGGAATAAATTCTGTAAATTATAAGATTTTAATAATAATTTTTATAACTAAATTTGATTATGGCAGCATCTTTGCATATTTAATTTTATCTAGATAAACTGATGAAAATTGATCATGATTTAGGAGGAACAGCTGCAGCTTGTATATAATACTTATATATTTCAATAGAGAAAAAGACAGGAGATGATTTTATTAGTTTAAAAGATTCAATCCATAACTTGCTGTTTAAGTTGAGATCGAAGATCGAAGAGAAACACAAATATGCTAATGTTTAAAGAAATCAAGATGCTATAAAATTGGACATTGAAATAAGAGATCTAATCACTGATATTGAAAGATTGTTAGATAGGCTGAATGAGGCTTTGAGAAAATAATCTAAAGATAAAAAGGTATTACAAACTCATAAAAGTTAAGAAATACCCCGAGTAGAACATCCAAGCTAAACAAAAGGCTTATTCAAATTACAGATAATAACTTTATGACTTATAATAATTGCTAGATCCAAATGCAGTCTTTGATTAATAGTAAACCAACAATAGTGTAGAAACAGTCAGTACATTGAAGATGAAATTGATGGATCAAGATGGTAGAAAGCCTCCCCCATCATAATAGATGAGTTAAGAAGAGAAGGATGCCATCTAAAGATGGAAATAGAATGATGAGTTAATGGATAAATAACTTGATAATCTTGTAGATGGTACTTAAAAATGGAAGGAGAATGCAATGGCGATTGGTGGAGTATAATTCTGAATTGATTTTTATAGAAAATTGATCATACAAGTAAATAAATTGACCATTTGACTGTTAAAGTGGATGAAACTAATGCAGAATTATACAAATAGAATAGCTAGTTGAAGAAGATTGTCGAAAAGTACAGACAACCAAATAAGTTCTGTTTGGACATGGTTCTAGTATTCATACTAATTGGATTATGTGGTGTAATCTATGTAATCCTAAAATGAATGTATCAATACATGAACAATTCATAATTATAACAAATTAAATAATAAAATTAATAATTATAATAAATATTAATACTGATAAATTCAAAATTAGATAATAATATCATTTTAATAATACTATACTATTAATAAGCAAGTAATCAACATCTTCTTTTTGATATGATATTACATTTACACTAAATAATCAGCATTATTTGATATTATTTATTTCACCTACATGTTATAGCATGAACCCCATACCCATGAGTTACTACTAAGATGTGTTTTTTTGAGAAATGCTCTCTCATGCGTTTATAATCTTCTGAGAACCTCTCAAAAAAATCTTAAATTGATTCAGGATATTATTGGATCACTTCCTCATAAGGTTCATTCAATAATGGATATTATTCAAAGATGTGCATATAAATTGAAGAATGTTTATAATAATGAAGATCTGACAATTTATCTTTATCAAACCAGTCCTATCTAAAAAATTCTCCTAATTCTTTTGCTATATATCATTTACACACATCTCAAATATGGTTATGTAACTAAAACCATATTCTCGATTGATTGCTTATTAATTTTATGAAGATTTTTACTAATTTCAAAATCTTCCTTATATATTTCCCTGTCTTTTTTGCCTAGGTTTATCCATTTAAAGATAAATGGGGATCAAATTTAAAAACAATTCTTTACTTTTTAGCATTTGTGCTATCATCTGCCCTTTCACCATGTCAATTATTATTTTTATAAATTTAATTATATATACGCTAAATTTTTAATGAAAATATAACAATAATATTGATAATAATTATGTGTTTTTAACTTCAATCATTTCTTTTAAGAGATATCCAATAAAATAAATTGTATAATTATTATTAATTATCATATAAAACTATGATAAACTATCATCCACTATAAATTCTTCAAATTCTTCTACAGATTGTTGGTAATAATATTTAACTTTAAATTAATATTAATTATTTTAACATCTGAATAGGCATGAATACAAATCATAATGAAGTATTGTTTAAAATATTTTCTATTGTAGTTTTGAACTTATTATTATAATATATAAATAGAATTAGAAATGGAATAAATAACTTTGTTTTTATTATAATCTAAATATTTTCTTATTTCATTAGGTATATTTGATTGATTGTGATTCTTAAGGACAAGGCATAATTCCATTTAATAAATAACTATTATATTTAAATAAGACTAATCATTCCGTCAATTTCTTTTGATAATTGTATCAAATTGCTTTTATATTTCTTTTTCTAATTCCGGTGTATATTCAACATTGATATTGCATTTTTTCAAGAACTCCTATGTTGTGCAGCCTACAAATTCGCAAGCAAAGGATGCTAACATTAGATTAGATAGATGTTCTAAGCCCAAGTCATCTGCAAGTTTTAATATGGTTTGTCTTTCAATTGGAGTAATTGATTTTAAGAAATTGCATTCTATCTCATTCAAATAGGTCTCTATTTTCCCATTGGGCACAGGCTTTGGGATGATTGAAATCTCAGAAGTTAACAATTTTTGTAGAAAATCGACGACTTTGATAACAATAACACTTTCCACTTTAAAATTGAAAATTGTTTTATTTCTAGAGTTTTCTAGGAAAATAAATTTAGATTTTTTTACCTTGAATTTGGGAATTAGTTTTACTAAACTTCTATAAAATTGGAACTGGAATGTTAACTTATTTATCATCTAAAGTATTGATGATCATTTTGACAAAATAATTTAATATAATAATTATAATTATAATTAAACCAAGCTTATCTTGGTGAAACACCATGGACAGTAAGACTTTGTTATACTAACCAATCGTATGAAGAGTATTTTGATATCATTCTATTATAATCTAATATGCTATCAATAAATTATTAAAATCAAGAATGGGGTCTTGTACTTAGAAACTGAAAAAGGCTAACTAAGAAAATCTCCAAAGAAAGCATATGCAAAAAACTTTGTAGGTTTAGCATTCAAAAAATCAATCAATCCAAACTCAAGAATCTGTTCAAGAGAAAAAAAAGAAGGATAAGTTTTTGTAAACTGATTAATCTCTTAACATCCATAATTTCATTCTGATTTAAACATGTAAATTGTCTAAAGTCTATTCCATTGTTTCCAACAACATTAAGGATAATTAAGTTTAAACCCAAAATAAGTCATACATTGAAAATATGCAGATCATATAGAATAATCTGACTGGGAGAATTAGAGTAATGGAGACACTAAAATTGGACGAGAAATAAACTAAACAATACATGGATAATATTATAGCAAATCCTTTAGTATTTTTAATATAAAGAATATTAGTCACATCCTAACATCGCACAAACACATGAGATGTATTAGGACGATGAAACTATCCATATAATTCATGACTATTGCAGTGGAGGACGATTAAGTACCCTATTTGTAAAACTGGGCCAGGGGATAAGTGAGCATATAGCTTTGAAGATATTGGTATAGATGATAGAATCCTTGAATTACCTTCACATGAAAGGATTCAATCATGGTCATTTGACACAAAATAGTTTTTCAAGAACAGATGAATCAGAGAACTATTTTATTAAACTCACTGATATAAAACCAATTTACTTAAAGCCTTAGGTTACGTTTGAGCAATTATAGTTTTTTGCTCCTGAAGTAATTGATAACGATTAGGATTATTCAATTGCTAGAGATGTTTGGTCAATAGGCATCATATTTTATAAGCTTCTAACTGGAAATCTTCCTTATTCATCAACTTAATCGAGTAAATTGAAATAAGAAATACGAAAGGGTATTCTCTAATTTAGTGATTTATAATTTGATAAAGTGTCCACCAGGGCTAAGGAATTATTAAGTAAACTACTCTCCTTTAATCCATCAATAAGATCTGATCTTAATTAAATCATCAAATCACCAATGTATAGAAAATTAGTATCTCAAACTAAACAAATTAGCCAATAATCTGTAAATGCCTTGACGAATATTAAACCAGCCAATGTTATATAATCATTGTTCTTATAATTTTTGGTTAGTTAATTTTGCCAAAACTAATAAAATGAAATTTATTAAATGTTTAATAAATACGATCAAAATGGAGATGCTAAATTAAATAGGACTGAAATATGTGAACTTTTATATTAGTAACTTAGATCTAAAGAGTAAGCACAAAAACATGTTGATTTGATATTTTAAGCAATCGATACAGATCATAATGGTACCATTGATTGTGATGAATTCATTAGATGCATTGTAGACAGACAGGCATTGATCACTACTCCTAATCTTAAGGCGATATTCAAAATATTGTCTAATGGCAAAGGATCAATTCACAAAAAACGATTTATGCAATGTTTCTAGGTTGATTAAAAATAAACTGATGAGATGTTTGCTTCCATCACCAAATCAAAGAGAATCACTTTCAAAGTATTTTCCAAAACCATGATGGAACTTGTATGAGTGATATAAGTATTTCATACTAATTTTGATATATTATTTTATTTATATGGAAGAACCTTTAATTTAGAATGAGGAAATTGAATCAAAAATTCCAAATGAAAAAGTCATGACAAGACTCATCAAAGGCGAGTTTAGGTTTGAGAGAAGACAGTACATATTTTTAAACGTTAATACTGTGAATTTAGTAAGAGAATGCAGTAAGTAATTAGGTGTTAACTATTTATAACCTGATTGGTCCTATCAATATTGAAGCCCAGAAATCTTTAATCTTTTATGAGGATACTAGAGTACCTTTAAATGATCAGGACTTCACTTTGATGAATTTATTAAATGCCTTGATTGTAGTTCATCTCTTGAGAATCTTCACTTGTTTATTGGGTTTCTTCAGTGTTTCATAGGTAATCGAATGTATTGAATGGTGTAGAAATCCGGTAAAATTATGACTTATTTTATGATTATGTCTACAGTGTGTGTGCTTTGTAGAGGAATCATATCCTTATTGATTGTGCTAAATTATACAGCAATAAAAGATACTTGTAATTTGATTTTTGGAGGTGGAACTGATGACATCGGTTCATTAATGGCAATGTAATTTTTAGTTGTACTTATACTTTTTGTAATTGCAGAAATATTGCTTGCTTTGATCTCATTAATATAATGTTCAAAAACTAAGGAGGAATATAGAAGTACAACTAATCTATGATATCTTAGTTTGGATTAAGCATAAGGAGAAAATGATGAAGAATTATGAATTGTGCTATGAAGTCGCCATTTGTTAATTAGATGAATGATTATTAAATATCTGTAACATTCAATTTCACATATTATAAATTTATATAGATTTTAATCATTTAAATCCATAAAATGACATTTGATTTGCATTCGTATTTACTATTTCTTAAGGCATAGTAAGGGAATAACAGAAACATCATGTACAGATTCTCACCAGTAGACATTTAAGTTTAAAACGATATTTTTGATTTCGTTATGTTTATGTAAGAGATTAGAATTAATTATAACCATAAGTTGAATCATCATTAAATAAGCAAAAGTGGGTTGCATTTTACCAAGAAGTAAAATATTTTGCATTTGAGTTATTTTCTACAAATTACTACTTATGAAATAACGCACAACATTTATTATCTGATAATAATTAAATAAACTCAATAATATATATTCGTTATGGGTAATTGCAGCACCAAAAAGAAAGTCAAAAAAGATGTAGAAGTACTTGTATCTACATAAGGACCCGAGGAAAAACCTAGAATTGATAGAAAATAATAAAAGTCTTACACATTTACTCCTATTCTTGCTAGATCACTTTTACCGGACACAGTTAATGAGTCCGTTATTTCAATACGTTCCACCAAAAAATTTATTGATTCATCGAAATAACAAATCTAAATTCGAGCTGGACTCTTGAGAGTTTATACCATATTAGGAGCCAAACCAGACTCTTATTTAGAAAAATTGGATGATAAACAAATAAGGATAGTCCAACACAATATAAGTGGAATTAAAAAGAGAGTAGAAACAATCAATAAATTTGATACTTCTACACAGAATTTTATTCTCAAAATCTAAAAAACCAGATTAGTATTTAAATATATAACATTAGTAAAATGATTATATCTGTCCAATAACTAATATTTATGAAGACTCTGATAAATACTACCTGTTATCCGACTATTGTAGTGGTGGCAGTTTAGCTGCATTAAAGGGAAAGTTATAGGATAGTTAAGTGACTATCCTATTAAACTAGATGGTCACAGCCATTTCTTATTTGCATTCCAAAAAGATGGTTCATGGTAAGTTGTCTTTGGATAGTTTTCATTTATTAAGTGATTTAAATAGTTTATTTTGTAAGATGGTTGATGCAAACAGTTTATTTTATGGGAAAGAGTAGGTTAAGATAGAACCATCATTAGAAGATTACGCAGATGATGTCTATGCTTTAGGGACGATCGGTTATTAATTATTGACTGGTTTAATTCCTTATTAGATTAAAAACTATAAATAATAAGAAGATGGAGAAAATGAACTCATCTTATATTTTAGTGAAGGAACTTCAACTACTTTAAAATCAATACTGAAGAAAATGTTAGACAAGAATAGAAGTGAGAGAATTACTTTGGAAGAAGTTAAAAGATAATTATCTAAAAATGATATGAGACATAAGTACTCGGATTTCTTAATAAAGCCTTTGTATTATTTATCAAAATGTAAACAAAGGAATTATTTTCACGTTGTAATTCTGGCTTTTATGCTGAACAAATTCAATTAGGAAGAAGAATGCATTTTATAGAAAATCTTCAATGATGCAGACCTTGATTAAGATGGATTATTGATGAAAGACGACATCATTCGATTATATAAATCTATAGTTGAGTATGAGACTATAAATGTCGATATTCAACAATTATTTTAAAAATTAGATGTAAAAAACAAAGAAGCATTAGATATAAAGGAGTTTATATCAGCAGCATTAAACCTCGATGAGTTATTGTCGTAAACATATTTAGAGGCCTGCTTTAAATATTTATAGAATCAAAGAGGGCAAATTACATGCAATAGTGTCAAAAAACATATTGAGATTAACGAATAATTGTTCAATTCGACTTTAGAGGACATCAATGGGCAATTCAAGGTAATAAATCAATAGATATTTCTTAGGTAAATTATACTGAATTTACTGAGATAATGAGATAATTATAATGATTCAAAGTATGGATTATAATAGAGTTTATATTTGATTAATATTACTTTATATACATTAATATTATGGTTTTTTTATGTAGATATTTAGTTAAACAGTTAATTATAATTTATTTGGACTGTAATTTCTGAAGGATGCTACTTAAATAAGACTGAATTTTGGAATTCTACTTATTTACCACATTTAATATGGCTTTTTGATTGAGTAGATTAGAAATCCTCTAAATAGAAAGAGAAGTTACTTTTAGATGAAAATTGATAAATAAAAATCGATAATCAATCGTCTGATTGCTTTCTTTGATCTTGAGTGAATCTTCTTTACATAATAGGATTAAGTTTTATTTGGAATACATCCTTTTTATTTTCTTGGGGAGTAGTTTTTCTAAATTAGATCAGTTTATTACTAAGAATTGATTCCATTTGGTCCTTTATCTTTATCAGCCTAGTCGGCATATAATGCATCCTATCTTTTGCTTTGTTTTTACTAAACACAGCCCATTTTATTTGGCTTGTTTATTTATATATAAATGAATGATAAATCTTATAGTCATTAATATAATAACCTATTATTATTTTAATTATTTTCAAGCAATTTAATGTTTTAGGTTTATGCAACAGCCATTTGAAATAAATGCGAAATTTCATCATCGCCATACTGATATTTGGAGATGATGACCTCAAACATAATAGTTTAAGGGTGATTAGCCAGATACATAGAAGTTAAAATATATATATCTGATTAATATATTATATTATTTAAATAATGAATGAACGATTGGACACACAAGATTAAACTGACACCAGTATTTTAGGTAAGGATAAGAAATCAATACGGAGAAATCGTTTAAGATTGGATAAATTTAATCATCCTATCATTAAGGGTGTAAAAGGGAAGAGAATCGTCTTTAGAGATGCAATAGAAGGAAGAAATTTATGTGATGTTTATTTGGTTTAGAGGTACATTGAAAAGAAAGAATAAAATATGAAATGCAGATGCGCATGTTCAATCTAGTGAATTCTAAATCCGGTTCTTAATGCATGGATGATTTTAGTTAATAATTAATTATAATAATACTAATAATTATTGATTTTAAATTTTCATATGAATTTAAAAAAAATGATGATGATGTATTTGAAATATTAATTCATTTTTTAATAGCCTACATGTTCTGAAGGAATTCCTTACATCGATTGATTAACACGCTATTATTAGCACCTAATTAAGACTAAGTTCTTTGATGATTAACTATTGTTTATTTGCTTCTTTAATCAGAAATGCCCTTTTGCATTAAATAAGTCTGATAGTTCATGCTCATTGCTATTTTGAATATGTGGAATATTTACTTTTTTAATGCATCTATTATTATTATGGCTAAGGGATATTAGATTGGGTGGAGATATTATGATCCCCTAAGAAACTATTTTCTTTGGAGATTTTCTTACCATAATTGAAACTAGAGTTGGCTTTATCAGAGGGAATATAAAAAGATGTGCTTGTACCACTGGTAGGCATTTTTGCACTGATTCTCTTCTACGCAACAGCAGCATTATTGTTCTGTAGTTATTAGGGTATTTAAGATTTCAGTTGATTTGAAGAGGCCTAATTTAAAGTAGCATAAACACTAACAGAGGGAGGTCTCTATTGTTGAGTTGTGATCTAAGGTTTTTGATTGGGTTAAGTCCAAGGAGACATAATTTATTTTTTGGAAATTGAATTATCACGTTCTATTTTATTGATTGAAATGTCGACGACATTTTTAGATTTTTAGTTTTCTTTGTTCATTTCTTTACATAATTGGCCACTAATAAATTCCTTGCTCATATTGACACTTTATTATTATTATTATCCTAAATAATCTTTACTACAATTTGACAAGTATTCTTTCAGGTAATTTTGTGAAACATGTTGTTAAACATTAGGATCTTGCTATTTAATTATAGGTTATTCACTAGGAAGAGTAGAATTAGATGGAGCATTAGGTTTTTTAGATGCATGTTAAAAACTTTAAGTTCTTTTTCTTTCTTATTGATTTTGATCAGTGCTTTTGAATTAGTTCTCAAATTTATTCTCATATTTGGTTTCATATTTCTTACTAATTTCTAAGTACAAAGCCTCTCTATACTCTTTGATACTAAATTTCTTGTTATCATCCATAGAGATGATAATTGGATTTGTAGTGCTCTCTTGATTATCATGATGGAATGCACCTACATATGGATGTCTCAAGGCTTCTTCTACAGAGATCCTTTGTGAAGGATTGAATGAAAGCAATCTTCTAATCAAATCCAATGCTTGAGGAGTGGCTTTTGGAAAATAGTTTGTAAATCCAATTCTCTAGCCTTTAGGAATATTGTTGACGATTTGAGAGGCCAAGGGTGCTTAGACACTTTCCAATTCAGAGGTGGTTGGTCTGCCTATGACTTCAAGAACCCTTTCGATTTGATTGAGTGTGGAACTACCAGGGAAGATAGGTTTGCCATTAATCATTTCTCCCAGGATGCAACCAACTGACCACATGTCTACAGCTTTGGTATATTGGGTGGATCCAAGGAGAATTTCAGGAGCTCGATACCAGCGAGTTGCTACATACTCAGTCAGAATGGAAGTTTCATCGATTTGATTTAGTAGACTTCTAGCTAGGCCGAAGTCTGCAACTTTGACATTACATTCTGCATCGAGTAACACGTTTGATGGTTTAAGATCTCTATGTATGATTTCAGCAGAGTGAATGTATTTTAATGCTTTGAGTATTTAATAGATAATATATCTGAAATTAAAGTTTAAGATTATACCTCTAGTGTATTTCTTCGAGGATTCCTCCTCTAATTACAGCATGGAGGTCTGTTTCCATGAAATCGAAAACAATATACAGATCTTTGTTATTATCTGCTCGATGAATATTGGTCATTCGAATAACATTGTCGTGGAGCATCTCCTGTAAAAACATGACTTCTCGAAATGTGCGTTGTGCATCAGTGGCATTATGAAATGCATCAAATACTTTTTTGAGTGCTACAGTTTATTTTGTTTTTCGATCTATGGCTTTCCAGACTACTCCATATGCTCCTTTCCCCATTTTCTGTAATACTTCATACTTCTGCATTATGTGGGACTCGATTTCTTCGGTCATTTTAAAAAAATTAACTGTTAAAAATAATTATGAAGAAACATAAATCCTACATCAATTACGAAGACATTATTGATAAACCTACTCCATTGATCAATATGTAATAATCATTTAATCTTAACGTGAATGTCAAATAACTCAAATAATAATAATCATCTCCACATATCCCTCTCATTAATCCTAAGAAACCTTATCTTCAATCCAGAACCAATAATCGAAATAGTCTCCCAGTCATACGCTCTGCTATGCAATCACAAATTATGGACAGAGATACCCAATTTAATCAAAAGGAGCATGAAAAATTAAAAACTGATTATGAAAACCTTAAAATTGAGTATTCTAAGTAAGAATCGCTTGTCTAGCAATTGATGAATGAGAATGGCCTATTGAAGAGTCTCAATGCTGACCTTAAAAATTAGGTTGATGATCTTAAAATCAATATCAAAAGGTATCAATAGAATGATGAAGCTGCTTACTAATAATATCTCTCAAATTAATAAGAGTTAATTATAAAAGAATTAAAATCGAAGATTAATTAATTGTCTGAGAAATTGATTCTTAAAGAAAAACAAGAGAGCCAACCAGCCAATTATCTTCTTTACGTGAATGAGATTCAAAGTTTGTGTCTGGATCTAAAGAGGCACTTGGAATGCAAGTACTGCGGAAAGGAATTGAAAGATCCAGTAACACTAATTCCATGTGCTCATTCGTATTGCAAAGGATGTAGAAAGGGTTATTCCAATGATTGTTTTTTGTGTGGTAAAGAACTAAAATTAGAGGCGGTGTATCTAAATTAATTTATGATTGACATGATGGCATTATATAAACGAAATATTGGACTCATTGAATAGTTGAAAAATAATTTATGAATTAATAATCAAAGAACAAGTCTCTCTATTCCAAAAATATTATTCCTAAACACAATGAGCCCCAAGATATCGAGCATTGTCGATAGGCAATCAAGTAAATCATTGGCAATAGTGATGCTTCTCGCAATCAAGCATATCATAAGTCTGCCGAAAACCATCACCAACAGCCTTAACTGAAGAAAAACTTACACTCTACAGTGCAACAGTATAATGAAAATGTCGGCAAGATGTTTACATCCTCTAAGTATGGTGTCGCATACATGTAGAAAAAGGTCATGCATAATATTGATTAACTATGATATATTTGATCCACATTATAACTTTTCTGTTATTACCAACAATTATCTCACTCTCCTTTTTTGGAAGATTACCTTTAAATTTTTCCAGAATGATTTGGTATCAATTTAAATTTTGATACATATTTAAAGTCGATCATTAATAATACAATTAAGTATTCATCATTTATTCTTAATTTTATTTATTCCCCCATCGATAAATTTAATTAAAAAGTATTAAAGAATGTTACAAATCCTTTTTGAAGAAAATTGATAGTATAAATATACGCTGTAAAGATATTTAAATATGTCAAACAATCGATTACCAATGTTATTTTATTGTTGTCATCCATTTCAAACTATTTATGTTATTTCTTATATATATAAAAATCTTTTTTATTATAATAATATTGATATATAGAAATAACATAAATAAGCATAAATTTTAGATTCCCTCATTTTTCTATCCAAATACCACTATGTGATATTTAATAATAATAAATTTCTAAAATATATTTAGAAATACTTTTTTAATACATAATAGTAAATATGAATCTAATTATATAAAGTTAATTAGATATATTAATATATATAATGTTATAATAATAAATTTTATATTATGTTGAATATGTTATAATTTTCACACTTCAATCATCTCAAAGAAAATATTCGTTGCTGGATTAACAAATATTTTCACTAAAATTGTTTACAAAAGTCCAGTTGCACCTGATAAACTCAATTGCACTGCCTTGAAAACAATTAATAATTTAATTGGGTCTGATACACAATGAGTGTTTAGGAATCCCATAATGAAGTTAAGACCCCACATATTTGATCTACTAATATCACCACCAGAATCGCTTGCTTCTAAGGCCATGGCTATTAGGATGAAGTAAATTAACAATGTAGTTAAGCCTATGAATATTCCCCATCCTATTTGTCTAACCACAAACACTTTGTGTGGCATCAAGAACAGTATTACAAACATTTCAAAGTTAGACAATATAGCCGAGAAAATACTGAATATAACTGATTGTAAAGGTTCCAAGGGCACTTAGAAGAAGATGTTTATGTAGCAAGTGTTAAGTATGGTCATGTATAACACACAGAATCTGATGGGACGAGGCAATCTTCTTTCAAAAATTAAAAAGATGCATAACAATTTATGGAATAGAGCCATAAACAATAGTACATTGGCAAGGGTGAACTTAAGTTGACATCCACTTTCTAAGAACTTCTTTCGTTTGTAATCTCTATGCCATTATTGAACTATTTGTTCTTTGATTTCATAAGTTGGTTCTGGCTCTTCTTAGAGATTTTCCTCTTCATTTGAAACATCTAAAAGATCTTTATCCTTCTCTTTTTCTTTTTCTTTCGCTTTATCAGTATGTTTACTCTTATTTCTCTTTCTCCTTCTCATTGTTGATTTTTTCTTTTGTTTAGGTTCAATGATTTCAGATTAACCAGCTTCTTTGACATCCTTTTCAAATGAGTCCTCTTAATTATTTTGAGCAGGTTGATTGACATCAGTGACTTTGATGGCACTAAGTGCACATCCATCATCATCTTAAAGTTGAGGTAAATCATTTGATTGTAATTCCTGACAGAAGGGTGGTGTCATATTATCTCTTCTATTGAGGATAGGTGACTCTTTCAATTCTGGATGAAGTTCATACTATTAGCTATCACCCATATCATATTGAAGTGGTTAATCAGCATAGAGTTATTGCTGTTGTTTTTGTTCTTATTATTGGAATTGCTTTTCTAATTCTAGATTGAATTATTCTAGATCAGCAATACTCTCTGATTTGAATTATTATTATTATTAATCTTATAAGATTTAAGATTATTATTGTGACTATGATTTCTATTGCTATGATTATGATTTCTATTGTTATGATTATTATTATTGTTATTATTGATTTGAAACATTCTTAGATTTAATGGTTGCAATAGACACAGAAGATTTGGAAAATTCAGGTTCCAATTATTTGAAGTATTTAGCTATTTCAGGTTCCTTTTGCTTTTCTCCTGGTTTCACATCCAAAATGTTTTCAGGAACTTCATAGATACTTTCCATGTTGTCACTATTTTCACTATCTTCTTCATCATAGACTACTTAATTAGGTGGTTTATCAGAATCATCAGAATCAGATCTATAAGTAGGCTCACTTTAAAGTGGAGGATTGGCATTTTATTCACCTTTGATTTCATCCATCTATCTAATCTTCATCAATTCTTCTGGTTCGATATCAGGTTGAACCATCTTAATATCCACTGGAGCTTCCTCTTATAATGGGAACTAGACACTGGTGTTGATTTGTCTCTCAGGATTATCTTGTTATTCCTCAAGTTGCTTTTATTACTCCTATTCTAATCTTAGTTATTCTTCATATTCTTATTACAGTTTCTACTCTATTTCCTTTTGCTTTTCCATTTTCAATTTTTGTTATTCTGATCTCTTGGATTGGTTTTCTTCAGCCTTGATTCTAATATATTCTGATTCAACAAAATGAGGAGCCAATAATTTCTTCTCATAATCTTCCCTATCCTTTTTGAATCCATATCTGACTGAAAACACTAAAGCAATAGTCATAATGGCTAAAGCATAAACAATGACTGATTTGTAGAAAGGGAAGTTGAGTAAGGCTAATAAAGCTTCCATGGAGAATGCCTTAGCGAATTTATCAAATGCTAGAGCATCTGCAATAGCATCACCAACTGAAGTAGGAGATAGTTCTTCGCATTAGCAAGTGACAGTAACAGCTCCAGTTGCATCAACCAGTGTAACAGATTTACAGTTTCCTCCTCCTGCACTCCAACTTCCATCAGCACCTTTTCCAATACAAAATATGGCTTAAGATTCTGGTTCTTCATCTAACTCATATAAATCCTAATAATATTGCATGTTTCTTCTGCCATACAGTCTTCTGAGTCTTCTTAATCTTGCTGCTTTTTTGGCTGCGGTGACTCCAAAGGACATAGGTATTGGTTATTTGGGAACAATGACTGATCCATTGGCTAATTTTGGTTCAATGTTTTAGACAGATGCTGGTACAGATCTACTTGGGAAGGAATCGTCAGTTGCATAAGGATTGTTATTGAATTCAGCTTAATTGTAAGTAACAGTTGAGATAGAAGTGTCATCAGATGCTGAGGATTCATCATCATCGCTGATTTTGATATCCTTCTTTACTTTAGTGGGATCTGCTCCTGCCAAATATTCAGCCATCTTAGAAGGAGTAGCAATAGATGATTTCATAGAGAATGATCCACCTGAGAATACTTTAGGAGGTGCATTGGGATCAGCAGTCTATGTTAAACCAAATTTAACAGATTCTTGGACTTTAAACATTTTTGCATTATTCTCCTTCATTTTTTACCAAGCTTCATCAGCATCACTTGTTGAATTACTGTCAGTTGAATTAGTTGAATTGGTTGATGCAGTTGTACTGGTTGAATCTATAGAATCCATTTAATTCTATCCAGCTGCCAATAGTCCATTTAATAACCCAGCAGTTCTCATGATGTCATTTTGGAGATTCTCTTTTATTCTAAACGATTTGAAGTCGACATTGCCATTCTCAATATCTCCTTGAAGATCACTGACTCCATTGGTACTGGCTGAAACAATACTATCTGCTTTATCTAATTCAGCATCCATATTTGCAGAACTCATACTCAATTAGATATCTTCATCATTCATTAGTTCTTCAATGGATTTGGTCAGAGCACTCTTAGTAGCAACACTGACATCTTGGGATTGCAATTCTTTGAGTGATGCCAAAATATTTTGTTTGAGTGTGACTAATTTAGACTACTCTGCGTTGACAATAGCTGTTTCATTAGTATCTTGATCAGAAGTTGGGTTATCGATAGTGATATCCTTGACACCAACAGCAAGAAGGTTAAGTAAATTAATTTACTCTGGGATTGTCAAAGTTGTTCTGTTCTAATAAAGCAAGATAAATCTATCTGTTGCAGCCACAATTTCTGCTAATTATCTTGATCTGAAGAAATAGGGTAATGGGGAGTACTTATCCTCTTATGATTCTCTCTTTTTCAAAAACTCAGCAACCTAAAGTTTATGTCTAAGATCTGCTTTATTCAATCCGACTACAACTGATGATGTAAGGTTTGTTAAGGCTCCCAAAGAATCTGATACTGATGCCATCAGAACTATGAATGGTTGAGTTACAGCTGAATCACTCAAAGGATTTGGTAGAATAGTATTCAATTCATCGTCTATTGAGTAATCAAGTAATAGAATCTGATTTAGTGAAGCAGCCTTCAAAATGTCATTGTCGTATTGAGTGGGAGAGTAGTAGAGTGTAAACTTATAAGTGAATGGTGAATCGCTATCTTCACAATCAACCACTTTTATAGTGAATTAGGTATCAAAGGAAAGCCCACTAGTAGGAGATACCTTTATTTTACAGTTACGAGGTGGCAAATTGATATTAATAAGTAATGTAGTTGTGGAAGGCATGAAGAATTGAGGATTGTAAACAGATGCCCTGAATCCTAATTAAGCAAGATCAGTTAAATCATAGAAACTATCCCAGAACTTTATAGTTATTGAGGTGAAGTAGAATCTTAATGTTGCCACTACATTGAAATCATATACTATTGCACCACCATAGTACAGACTATCTGGATTCTTCGTGGGATATAAGAATTTAATGCTGATTTCTTAATTCATGTTAACTCTCTTTGAAGTCAAATATTCAGGTCTCTTGAGTTCTAAAACTGGGATGTCTAATTCCACAATTACAATAACTGCCTAAGCAACCTCAAACAATTCACCTTTGGTACCATTCAAGTAGAAATTATAGGCATTATAAGGCACTAATCTTTTTGCTGGAACAAATTGAGAGGTGGTTCTATTAAGTGGAATTTCTTCATCGTACACATCTGAACATGGTAGATTAGTATTTAGATTCACACATTTCCATACCAACTCAATTCCTACACTCTAATCTGTTTTAATATTGGGATCCTTTGCCCATCCATTCACTCTCAAAGGTACAGCATATCCATTCATTCTATTTCCTCCTTCAATTTCAACTTATAATCCTTAATTCAATAGTGTAATATCAACTGTGTAATTTGCTGAAATTGGTTTGGTTGTTAGAGTAGCTACCAAAGTTACTTGATATTAGAAACCACCTTTTCCTGAATAAGGAGGGATGTCTAGTTGAACAAATTGAACATCTGGAGCTTTTACACCTGTAAGAGCAGTGGTATCCTATAGAAGATATGATTCAACAGTTCCCTTCTTAGCTTTATTTGACATCCACTCATAACTGATTGTTGATGCTATAATTTCTGTAGTTCCAGATAGACAACTTTAATGAATGATTGTACCCACTAATTTGATTCTTGCATTTGTGTAATACACATGTGGGGCTAGTTCTTCAATTGATACAAATGGTGATTCATAAGTAGTAGTTGAAACCTAGTAATCTGAACTGAACTCTGTATTCAAGAAATTGGTGAATGTGTATTTAAATACATACTTTGAGTATTCAGATAATAACAAAGGTGGAATTTCAATTTTACTACTCTTGGCGGCATTTGCAGTGTCAAATAAACCTTAGATTCTTCCTCTGACACTAGAGTTTTCTGGTTCAATTGAGACTATTGACCATGATTTCATATTCAACCCTCTACCACCATCATTGAATATTTAACTTGGGAAGAATATGATCTTGCTGCATAAATTGCTATATTATGGGCCTGTAAATTTAACATAGGCAGCAGCAGGAGCATCTGGACCATTAATTTTGGCTGCCAAGAAGTTTGTGTAAAATATTCCTTAACAATCCTTCCTACCTATTACTGATTTCAGATTTAATGTGAGTAAGCCACCTATTAAAAATTAAGCATTATTTCCAAAGACTATTAATGCCTACTTCTAATTATTAGGATCCACATTACATAAAGGTTTTCCACTTCCTAACTTAGCAAAGTCATCATCGTTGAATAATTTCTGACATACATCTCTGCTAGGTATAGTTGGGTCATTGATTCCTTTTATTGAGATTATTCCACCCAGATTTATTGTCATGGAATCTAAACTATCCTTCATCTTAATATAAGGCACTCCATACTCGCAGGTTCCACATTCAGAGTATCCATGTTATCTTCTATCAATACCTGTAGTTGGACAATTACAAATCTTTACAATATCTGGGCCTTCTCTATTACCAGCACAGGTTAAACAACCATTTTTATCACAAGTAACACATTACAGATCACATTTTTAACACTTATCATTGACATCATCATCGAAGTAACCTGAGTCACATGTGCATTGTTCAGTAAGTATCCTATCACCTCTACAAGTTAAACAATTGGAACTTGAACTAGTACAGCTTGTGCATTTAAAGTCACATTGAGGACAGTTTGTAGATTTGCCATCCTCAAAAAGTCCATTTGAGCATAAACATAATTTATAAATTGGATTATCTGGTAATATTGTTGAATATCTATTTCCTTTACAAGTAATGCAGTAATTGGCTTTGACTGCACAAGTTGAGCAAGTAGGATCACATATTGAACACATTTCCTTTTGAGCAGATGAGTCTTCGTACTTTCCAGCTGGGCAAACACAACTTTAACCAACTCTGTCTCCTTTGCAGGTTATACAAACATCACTTTTTCTTTGACAAGTTGCACATTGCCAAGCACATGGTTAACAAACAGCATTCTTATTGTCTTCATCATCAAAGTAACCAGGAGGACATGAACAAAATGGTGCATCTTGATTCCTATTAGCCGCACATTTCAAACAATTTATGAAAGCTTCTTTGCATGTAGAACATTTATAATAGCATTATTCGCAATCAGCAGTATGCGAATCTATCAAATATCCATTTGGACAATCACATTATGGTACTGTAAGTCTATTTGATGGGCAGCCTCCAGTACAATTATTACTTTTTGTTTAACAACTGTTGCATTGAATTGAACATTCTTGGCATATCAATGAATCGGGATCTCCATATTTATGATTTCCACAATCTTAAATACATTTTCCATTTAGTAAATATGTCTATATATCAGTATTAGTTTGTTTCTGTGGACATGATAAACAACTAGTCTCTTTATCATCTGTACATGTTAGACATGATGTGTGACAATCTTGACATTAGAATGTGGAAGGATTAAGGAATGATCTAACAGGACATTCAATATAACAAGTATTTTTATTTGGATAGAAATAGAGATCAGTAGGACAAGAAGTACATTGATTTGATTCCTTTCCAGTACAATTAAAGCAGAATTTATCACAATTTGTACAAACATTACCATTTTTAAAGTATTCATCTGGACAACCAGTTTAACAAGTGTCTTTATATAAATAGTATCCATCCGCACATGCAATACATTAAGTGGATTTAACACCATCACATTTAGAACATCCTTAATAACACTTTTCACATTTTTGATTGGAATCATTTGAGAAATACCCAGTAGAACACTCCTTAACACATTAACCAGTAGCAGAAAGATAAGTTGTTGAATAGCAACTGCTACAGTTAGTATCCAAAACTCCAAAGCAAGTCTTACAAGTTGCATTGCAAATCAAACAAATATTACCATTAATGCTATCTGCATATGCGTAAGAACCAGCTTAGCATGTGATTCTACAAACATCATTTTCCATATATCTAATTTATGTAGCACCTGTTTTTGGATGAGTAACTGTTCCACATTTGGTACAATCCAAACTTGTAGAATCTAAGCAAGTCTTACAGGTCCAATCGCAATTTGAGCATTAATATGAATCTAAGTTATTATATTTTCCATCGGGACATATCTTGTAACATTGTACATTTTTCAAGACCTTATTAGTATCATAAGTCTAGTCAATAAAGTAATCAGTATCGCATTTAAGGCATTTTGTAGATCCTAATAATTTTTCATCATACACACAATTTTAACAATTAGGTACACATCCAACACAAATAGGTTGAGTAGCATGCTTAATATATTTCTCTGGACATGTACTAACACAATAAGAATCATCAACTCTCAAAGCAATATCTGAACAGGATGGACAAATTGTTGAATTATCATTACAAGTTTTGCATAATCTATTACAAAGAACACACGAGTTATTTTCTACAAAATATCCATCTTAACAATTATTTAAGCATCTTGAATTGGACAAAATTAAATGATTACAAGATCTACAAGCGGTAGGTTAATCATTCAAACAAGTAGAGCAAGAACTATCACAAGTATCAAACAAGCAAACAGAACTTTAAATATCAGGTGAATAGAATTCTCCACATTGTTATTCACATGTCCAATCATATACTCCGGTATCTGCATTTAATGAAACCTTCAAGAAATAATCAGTTTCACAACTCAAGCATTGATTGTTATCTGGACCAGTGCATGTAATACATGAAGAATTACAGCTTTAACAATTTTTCTGAGTTGAATCAAAGTAATATCCAGAGGCACAATAATTATAGCAATTGTCTTCGAACAAGAAGAATTTAGAAGTATCACAAGCATTGCAAGTTGTACCATCAATACATGTCAAACAATTTTCCATACACTTATCACAAGAGTGTGTAGTTTCATTCTAGAAGTACCCTTCAATACAAGAGATCAAACATTAAGAGTTAAATAGGAAAAGCTTATCGCTGCAACTTAAACATTAATTTGTGGAAGGACCACTGCATGTATTGCATGACAAATTACATTGGTTACATTGATCAACATTTAAATAATAACCATCTATACAGGTATCACTGCATATTCCCCCCATAAACATTAAAGTTCCACTGCATGTCAAACAATCATTCTCTTCAGGGCCTTAACAAGTTAAACATGTAGTATGACAAAGCTTGCATTTGTTGTCCACAGTGTCAGGATAGTAAGATGTATTACAATTTTGTAAGCATTTACCACTTGAATCACTCTCCTAAAGTTTTTGAAGATATAGTTCAAGGGAACAAGAAGTACATTCTTAAATATCATTTCCAATGCATTATACACAAGTGTAATGGCAAGAAACGCAAACTTAATCAACGACCACATAACCGTCATTACAACTATCTAAACATTCCCTGTCTTATTTAACCAAAGGAGCTGAACACTCAGTACAATCTGTTGCATTTGGTCCATCACATTCTTTACATCTTGAATTACATTTGATACAAGATGAGGTGACAGAATATAAATAGGTACCTGAAGGACATCCAGATGAGCAAGTTCCTTCAAAGAGATAAAACCCTGTAAAGCAGGCTAAACATTAATTGCTTAAGTTTCCTTCACAACTTCTGCATGATACATGGCATTTATCACAAACCATAATTGAATTATTTCTGTAAGTTAACGGTGGACATTTAGACACACAATTATAAGAAAGTAGATCTGATACAATATCACCATATAATTGTTAATCTGTTGAAGTTCCATCTTAATTAGGCACTGATTAAGTTGGGCATTAAGTTACACAACTGTTCAAAGACAAATAGTAATTCACTTGATAATTATTGATGTTTTTATTCATGCATGCTGTGCAACTATTAGCCGAAGAACTTGTGCAACTTCTGCAATTTGTTGCGCATAATTAGCATGTTCTAGTGATTTGATCTCCATAATATTAATAAGGGCAAACTGTAATACATGGTGAATTGATATCAGCACTCAAAGGACTCATGAATCTGTTGGTTGTGCATAAGGTACATTTAGCTGAAGCATCTATGCATTTACCACAAAATTGATGACAACTATCACAATTACTATTTGAAGTATTAGCATATGTTCCATCTGGACAAGTTTAATTACAAGAATAATTAAAGTAGAACAACCTTGGACTGGCACTCGCTAAACATGATTAGCATTTATCTGCTGTTGTACCAAAGCATGTCTTACAACCAGCAAAGCAACCTCTGCAAGTTCTAGTTCCTGCATCCCCATAAAATCCTGCAGGGCATGCGGTTTAGCATAAAAGTGGAGTTCCAGTTAAAAATGAGCCTTGAGTACATGATGCACAAGATGTAGAATTTATGCAAGTGGCACAAGTGGAAATACATGTTTTACAAGTCTTAGTTGTTGTATCAGGATAATAACCATCAGGACAATATTGATTGCAGGAATTTGAATATAGGAAAGTAGTATTGCAACTTTGGCAGTTATCTATCTTAGCCCCAAAACAAGTTAAACAACTAGGATCGCATTATTTACAAGTTCTTGTTAGAGTATCTCCATATTAATTGCTTAAGCAACTTGTAGTACACAATATTCCAGTGTAGAAAGTTGAATCATTACATCTTTAACAAGAAATACTATCATTGCAAACAGAACAATTTGAAATACAAGATGTACATGTTGTACCTGTCTTATAGGATCCAGTTGGGCAACTGATGTAGCATCCTTTATTATAGAACAAGTATCCAAAATCACAAGTAGTGCAATTGCCCATTCCTATAGATGTACAAGTAGAGCATCCTTAAGAACAAGTATCACATCTCATATTAACTGTATCTAAAAATGTACCTGCTGGACATGTTGCAATACAATCTCCCAAATAATTAAATCTACCAGCTGAACATATGATACAATCAGATTATGTTGAACCCTTACAAGTCTTACATCCAGGATCACATTATCTGCAGGATCTGGCAGATACTTATCCGAAATATCCATCAGGACATACTGCTAGACAATTATTAATAGAATTTATTGAATTAAAGAAGAAGCCATCATCGCAGTATTAACAATCTAATGGATTTATGCATTTCAGACAACCATTAATACAACTATCGCCAATCTAAAAGTATCTGTTTTTCCATAAAATCTATCAGGGCACAATGTTGTACATCTTTTTTCTTAAACCAAATAGAAAATAGATGCTCCACATGATAAACAATTATTTTCTAAAGGACCATCACATGTTAAACAAGATGAATTGCATGCCTAACATACCTTGTTGGCATCTCCATAATAACCAGTTGAACATTGAGTAAGACATTAGTTTTAGAAGAAGAAGTAATTAGGAGAACATTTTGTGCATCTCTATGCTGAAATTGATGTACATGAAGTACAATTTTATGCACATTGATCACATTTATTTGTATCTGAATTAGCTACATAGCCTACATTTTCCCCACAACTTGTTAAGCATTTTTTGTTAAGTAAATATCTTCCAGCTTAACAGGAAATGCAAGAAGTTTCTTAGTCATCTAGTGCAATCCATTACATAGTTGAGTGACAACTATTACAAATACCACCTGAAACAGTAGGGGTTTATGAAGCCTTTTAGTAAAATGTAGTCTGACATTCAGGTATGCATTATCCTTTCACTTATTAACCAGCTGTATATTACAAATACATATTTGGGTAACATTCTGTACATGCTGTTGCAGTATCCAAACATTGTTTGCATGCGTTATCGCAAATAGTACATGTGAAATCTAAATTCTTATAATAACCAGGCAAACATTGAATCAAACACTATCTCTGTTACTACAAATACAAACTGCAAGTAGTTGATGTACATACATTATTCATAGAATCGCTAACAGTTTATGCTATTGAAGGGAGACAAGATATGCATCCAGTATCAGTAGTTGAAGTACAAACTTTACAATTTGAAATTGGACACTTGATACATTATTAATTATTGACATCCTAGAAAAAGGAATCCCCACAAGTATTTGTACATATATTATTTCCTAATCCATCCCAATTCTATTTGTAGTAGTATCCAGTATTACATAAGGTACATTGGTTTGAGGTTGTACAAGAAGAACAATTTGCCATACATGAGATACAATCATCTCCAGAAGTATAAGTACCAGGTCGACAATAGCAAGTTGGAGGTTGGATTCTTTAATTTGCACAAACAGAACAATTTTTAGCTGATTAAGTACAAGTTATGCAATATTTAGTATTGCACTATTCACAATTCAATAAGCCACTATCAAAATATCCATATGGGCAAGTTGTACATTGTGGAGTTCCTTATCTATTACCAGCACATTTTGAACATTATGATAAGGACTAAGAACAACTTGCACATTTTACTGAACAAGGTTAACAAGTACTAGTAGTAACACCATTTTAGGTTAAATTATAAATAAAGAATCCATCTTTGCAAGTTAAGCATTTGTTCAAATTGCTGCAAGTCATACATGCTGCATCCATATTACTACATGATAAGCAAGTATTTGAAGTGGTTAAATAATAAGAATTACTAACACAGGTAAAGCATTTTGTTGCAGTCTCGCAAGTATTGCAATTATTAGTACATTTGATGCAAGACGTTCCATCTAAGTAATAACCAGAAACACAAGTTGTACAACTAGCCATATCTGTGCATTAATCACAAGGACTAACACATAATTTACATTTCTTAGTGGTATCAACTTCAGCTGAATCAAAATAGTATTTATTAACACAAGATTTGCAAACATCTTAATCACAAGTTTTACAAGGTAATGAGCAACTAATACATTGGCTTAGACTTAGTTTGTAAAGATCATTTTAACATTTTGTACATATCGATCCTGAGTTACATTCAATACAAGGAAGTGTGCATGCTAGACATTCTGACCCATTATAATAGTAACCTACTGAGCATGATTAACAAGTTGTCAAACTTGTACAAGTGACACATTTTGGATCGCATGTCTTACAAGTATTATTTTCCAAATATCTACCAGAAGCACAACTCAAACATGTTGTTGCTGTTCCTGTACAAGTGATACATGAAGTTTTATCACAATCCAGACAATTTTTTTGAGTTTGGTCATAATATTTACCAGACAAACATAATTTACACACAGTTGCAGAATCACAAGTCCAGCAAGGTGAAATACACCTCTTGCAACTATTGGCTTCATAATAGTATAAATCTAAACAAGAAGTGCAAGAAGTTGCTGAATTAACACAAGATGAGCAAGGTGATGTACAAGCAGCACATTTATTATCAGCTGTTAAATATTACCTTGAAGTGCAAGTCATACAATAATCTGCTCTATTCCAACAAGTTTTACAATTGCTGTCGCAAATTAAGCATTAAGTGCCTGATAAGTAATAACCATCTAAACAAGATAAACATGATGTTTAAGTTGAACAAGTAACACAAGGTGACACACATTAAGTACAAGTGTTTTAAGCAGTCAGATAATAGGTGGAAATACAAGTTAAACAATAAGATGCACTTGAACATGTTTAACATGGGGAAACACAGTTTTAACAAAGATTGTTGTCCAAGTATTTTGTTAACGTATTACAACTTAAACATTTAGTTGAAGTATCAACACAAGATCCACATGGAGATGTACAACCTAAGCACGATGTTCCATTTAAATAATATCCAGAAGCACATGAAGAGCATGTGGAAGCAAATCCTGAGCATTTTGTACAAGCAAAATTACAACTTAGACATTCTTAACCATTTAGATATGTTCCATCAACACATGAACTACAACTAGCAGCAGCTGTGCATGTTAAACATGGAGAAACACATGATGTGCAAGATGATACATTAAGATAGTATTTGGTTTCACAAGAACTACATGTTAAACCATCCGTTCCAGAGCAAGTTAAGCAAGGAGATTAGCAAGTTGAACAAGTATTAGAGCTATTCAAATATTTACCACTTAAACAACTATTACAAGTGGTTGAATTATTACAAGTATTGCATCTGGGTTGACAAGTCAAACATTAACCATTACTAATATAATGAGTACTATCACATTTTGTACAAATTGATGAGCTAGAACACTCCAAGCAATATGATACTTAAGTACAATCTTTACAGATTAATCCATCTAAGTAAAATCCAGCCATACAGGATTAACAGTTTGTGTTTCCTGCAGTTAAACAAGTTAAGCAAGGAGACGAACATGTAGTACAAGAGTTATTTGAGCTTGTGTAATAATATCCATTCTAGCATGATAAACAAGCAACATCTGAACTACACAATTTACAAGGTGAAACACATTATTAACATGTATTCAAATTGGTCGGTTTATAGTAATAATCTATGCAACTCAAACAATTAGAAGCATTTGTCACACATGAAACACATGGTGATTAACATTGAGCGCAAGAATTATTAGAAATAAACTAACCAACACTACATTATTTGCATATTCCATCCAAATAATAGTTGGAACTGCAACTTGTACATGTAGAATCATTTGTACAAGAGGTACATCCAGTTGGACATTAAACACATGTAGATCCACTTAGATAATATCCATCAGCGCAGGATTAACAAGTAGTTGATGTTGTACAAGTTTTACATTTTGCATCACATTAAGCACACACAGTTCCATTCAAATAATATCCAGTAATACATTCTTAGCAATTTGTATTGCCTGCATTTTAACATTTGACACAAGGGGATTAGCAAGTTAAACATGAAGTTCCACTCAAGTAAGTTGTACTAATACAAGATAAACAATTAATAGCAGAAGTACAATTTATGCATGGTGCCTAACATAATGTACAAGTACTATCTTGTATATAGTATCCATTTATGCATTTGGTACATTAAGAAATCAATCCTCCAAAACATGATCCACATTTAGCATCGCAAGCAAAGCATTTATTTTAACCTTAATCATAGTATTATCCATCTGGACAGTTACAAGTTGTACATTAAGCACATTGATAAAATGCATTAATAGAGTAGCCATTTGAACATAATGTACAGTTTCCAGTATTTGCTTCACATTCCATGCAGTTTGTCGAACATGTTAGACATTATGAGTTGGATAGATATTTACCTTTTAAGCAGGTAGTACACTAAGTATCTGCATTTTAGCAAGTTTTGCAACTACTTGAACATTAAACACAATCTGAATTGCTGATGTAAAATCCATCTGCGCAGCTTCCACATTAAACCTAGCTATTTGCAAAATTGCATGTATCCTTGCATTTTATTGGACATTTTGTGCAAACTGTACCATTAAGATAGTATGTATCAATGCAAGTACTACAGACCTATGCTGATGAGCAATTTTAACATGGACTAACACATTACAAGCAACTAGTTTAATCTTAGTAGTATCCATTTGTGCAGCTCAAGCAAGAGGTTTGCCCACTGCATGTTAAACATGGTGCTATGCAAGCGATACAAGAATTATTAGCATAGTAATACGATGTGTTCACACAGCTATTGCAAGATGATTAAGTTGAACAAGTTGAACAAGGAGATACGCAACTAATGCAGCTTGTTCCAGATAGGTAATATCCACTTTAACATGAGGAACATGAAGTTGCTGAGCCAGAACATAATTGACATGCATTATCACATTTTGAACATAAGCCATTAGAGAAATAGTATCCTGGAACGCAACTAAGGCAAGTGGAATCATTTGAACAATTTTAGCATGGAGATGTACATTCTAATATAATATAGTAAATTACTTATGCAAGAATTTGAGTTAAGATAGTATGAATCTACACAGCTTAGGCAGTTAGTTGAACTTGTTATACAATTTAGACAAGGAGATTGACATGATTTACAAGTATTAGATTCTAAATATTTAGTATCTATGCAACTAGTACAAGTAGATTAATCAGAACATGATTTACAACTAGTTGAACATTATAAGCACTATCCATTATTCAAATAATGAGTAGAATCACAAGTGTTGCAAGCAATCTTACTACTACAAACCAAACAAGAATTTAATGTTGTACTGCATAAAATGCATAGACTATTTTCTAAGTAATAGCCTGGTTAACATGATTAGCAACTAGTAGTGCCTGAAGAAGTACACGAAGTACAAGGTTATTCACAAGTTACACAAGTCTTATTACTTAAATATTTTCCTGAGATGCAAGATGAGCAATCGGTTTATGAAATACAATTAATGCAAGGTTAAATACAAAGTAGGCATTATTATCCTGATAAATAATAACCATCTATGCAACTAGTACATTGTGAAGATGTTTATTCACAAGAATAACAAGGACTTTAGCATGATTAACATTTGAGGTTCAAGTAGTATTGATTATTTCCACATGCAACACATTAACCAGCGACTATTTCATATCCAGTGTCACATGAAGTACACTGAGTTCCTAAAGTGCAAGCATTACATCTATTCGAACATTATGAACAATTTGATCCATTTAAATAATATCCGATTTAACATTCGGAACAGTTGTTAGAAGAATTTGAACACTTTTTGCAAGCAGAATCACATAATTTACAAATTTATCCATCCAAATAATATCCTGTCTAACACAAGGAGCAATTTGTATTTCCAGCTATCAAACAATTGATACAAGGGGATTGACAAGGTTAACAAATATAATTATTTAGATAGTATCCACTGTTGCAATTTGTACAAATATCACTAGCAGTACATAAGTTACACGGAGCAATGCAATTCTTACAAGTTGAGGAATCTAAATAAAACCCAGCAGTGCAAGCCTAACAATTAGATTTAATTCCTGAACATTTGGTACATGTAGTATCACATGATTTACATTTTAATTCTGTACTATCATAATATTAACCTGTTTCACAAGTACAATTTGAGCAAGCTAGTGTTTGATAGATATAATAAAATTACTTGCACATTTGTTGAATTCATTTACCACGTATTGACTATCGCAGCTCAAACAGTATCCAGTTGTATCAGCACAAGTAACACAATGCAGGTCACATTGACTACAAGTTTAGCCATTTAAGTAATATCCGATAATGCATGAAGTACATTTTGTAGAGGTATCAATGCCAAGTCTTACAGGTCGTAGAACATTAGTCACAAGCATCACCAAAGTAGCCAGAAGCACAAGCGTCACATTTTACAGAGCCATTTAAGAATTAACAAGTGGACTGGCATTATGCAGGACAATCTAAGAAAATTAATTAGTAAATTTACGTTTGCAGGTTGTTCCGTCAAGATAATTTGATTATTTGCAAGTTGAACGATTGAGAAGCTGCTGATCCAGAGCATGTAGCACATTCTTAAGCGCATAATTAGCATTGCGCTCCATCAAAGTAATGTCCATCGACACAAGTTTCGCATGTTGAAGCATTTAAACAGTTTAGGCACGGTGAGTTACAAGCATGACAACTGTTTGATTCCAAGTAGTAACCATTAACACACTTTTAACAATTTGTATTTCCAGATACCGAGCATTTGTGTGCAGGGAGATTGACAAGCTTCACAAGTCTTACTTGAATCGATGTAATAATATCCAACAAGACAGGTTGAGCAAACATTTTCGGATTCGCAAGTGTCACAGTGGTTTATGCATTATGAGCAGGAATTATTATTCAAGAAGTATTTGGATAAGCAGGATAAACAATGGGTGGCTGAAGTTTCACAGGTGGCACAAAGGCTGTTGCAAGCAGAGCAACCATTTCCTGATATGAATGATCCAGGAGAACATTATTTACAAGTACCATCCAAATAATAATTTGATTGGCAAGAAGTACATTCAGAAGCACTGTTGCACTTAGTACATCCAGTTGGACAAGTTTAGCATGAAGTTCCTTCAATGTAGTAGCCATCAGTGCAAGATGAGCATGTAGTTTCAGATGTGCAAGTGGTGCATTTATCATTGCATTTAGTACAAGTGGAATTATTAAGCCAATATCCAGGATTACATATAGTACATTAACTAGAGCTTTCACACTCCACACATTGACTTGCACAAGGTAAACATTGATTGCCTTCAAGGTATCTTCCTGAATTGCATGTTGTACAATTTGAATCACTGTTCAAACATGATTTACAAGTAGTAGAGCAATCATAACAATGGCCAGAAGAGTAGTATTAAGTACTTGTGCATGCTTCACATTATCCATTGACTATCTGATAGCCAGAATCACATGAGTTACATTGAGTTCCTGATTCGCAATTATTACAATGAGGTGAACAGATAACGCAGGTAGTATTATCCATAATAATAGCCTACTTTGCATATTGAACAATTGATTGAAGAGCCAGAACATTTTGTGCAAGAAGAATTGCATTGGGTGCAAGTAGAACCATCAAGAT